CTGTATAAAATGTTGTATTTAAAAGTATTGTTTCGCATTCACGAGATTTTGTCGTGAATTCTGCTCTCAGATTGAATCGCGGGTGAATACTTTTTAATGCGATGGGGAATAGAACGTGAAAATCTTGTATGCCTCTGAATCCGAAAACGATTAGGAGAAGAAGTGAATATTTTTCAATACGAAAGTTCGCATTTAAAAATTATCGATTGCGATTGAATACAAGGCATATTTGAAACGAATTGAATCCTTGTTAATGCGAAGCATTCACTACTGCCATCTCGCATTTAGCGCGGTGAAATTTAATGGGAACTAATACTTTTTATTTTCCCTTTCTTCGGATCAGAAAGTAGAATTCAGACGTATTCAAAATGTCAATACTTTTTAATATGTTTCAGTTCGACATTTTATACAGGGAGATTATCCGCTGCCGACAATAACTCTTCTACTTTTCATTTAATATTCAATGATGATAAATAACATTTAATTGCATTCATTTGGGTTTTTTTTTTCGAAAATAACAAAATATATACCGGGATGAGATTTTACCCATGACAACATTAACGTGATTTTCTTTGATGCTTTTTTTAAAAGTTCAAATATTTCGTCGACTCGCGGGATATTTATAATCGGAGTCTCGTCACGTTAATTACGTGAATAACACGTGCTCCTCCGAGCGGATCGAATGCTCACCGACGGCCACTGTCAGTGCCACGAACGAATGTCCGGAGCGGACGGGATGCTGAATTAAAAAACAAGACGAAGTGAACGGGACGCGGACAACGATACATCATGCGTCTCCATACATGTCAAATTGTTTATTATAGAAGAGACTTTGATACGGCAATATATATTCGAAGATTTAACATTTAATACGTACTTTTATTTTTTCTGCTCCTCCCCCCCTCTCCCACGCTCTTTTTAGACCACCGGGCATAGTCTGGCATAGAGATGGCAACTGTCATTGCAGCACGGACATAAACCGCCTGAAAGTGGATGTAGCATGGACTTCCACCATATGCAGATTTTACCACCGAGACCTGAAAGTGGATGTACTATCGTAGTTCCCCTCTCAAAATGGATACAGATGGCGTCCTTTCCCAATGCGGAAAGTCGGTGTCGCAGAAAATGTCGTATTGGCCGCTCTCAGGTTACTTTCTGGCGATAGCATCCAAAAATTTTTATTTACAGTTCGTAAGTAAAGTTTCCTTACAGCTTAAAATATGACAAAAACTAGAGGTTACTGTGCGAGGTGCTTTTCCAACCATCTGTTCATCGTCATTTTCTGCGTTCTTTTGCGTTCTTTTATGATCTTTTTCATTAATATTGTTGCAACTATAACGTTTGATCACCATCAAAAGAACGCGTACATGAAGTGTTTCTTTAATATGCGATAAAATATTCCTTCTTCATTTATAGCTAGCTATTACTTATACGCAGATATCAGGCGAAACGCATCATTTAAACATAATTTTAATGTTACCCTAACAGCACAGATATTCAGAGGACGTTCAGAATACGTCTTGAGGACGTCCTGAGGACGTTCCTTCATCCTCAGGACATTCTTACGATGTCCCCAGGAGAACATATGCTATCTAGGTAGTGATCTAAGACAGATTTTATGACGTCATTAATTGCTCCTAGAGCGATCCGAGCCCAAGTCGAAATCGCTGCAATTTAGGAAAAATAACGAATCTAATATAAACTAAACCGTTTAGTGAAACTGTTAAAATAACAGATCTAATGAATACTTCTGGATGAATACTCCTCCAAATAACCTGGGTCAATATTTCTTATACCATTTATTTAAATGAGCTCGTCTAATTGGTTCGAATCTCAGCTAAATATAATAGATCGGTAAAATGTGGATTGAGTCTTGGCTAAATTTTATGCAAGTCAATAAATTGTGATTTGAATTCGGCTAAAAAGCTTAAACTCTACAACTTTACCATTAATAAATAAAATATACTACCAAAAATTAGAAAAATTGATACATTTTTAGCCAAGTTTTAGAAAACTAATAATTTTCTGCAACATCGTCCAATTCTATTTGTAGCACGTTAGACCCGTTATTTTTATTTCCAAGTCCCTCCCTTATGATCTGCTAATGTTATCTATGAATCGCGATATAACTCAACGATAAGTTGATAGTTCTTTCTATTTTACAAGGTAATACACGACGGCAAGTTAAACGCACCTCTGTTCTGTAATGAAAAAACAGGTAAGATTCAACAGCTGCTTCACTTCCGGCAAAAATGACGATGACGAAAAGATCCGAAAAGCACGTCGCAATTAAAAATCTCTATCCTTTCAACTTGTTAACGTTACAATTTTACTGTTGATGATCGTCCGACATGGCTACGCCGTAAGACTCTGCGACATTCCGCCTTGAATTACCTGTGAACCCTTTTGCCAGTACGAAAATTTACCCATTTCGACAGTCTTTAGCATCACCTCGGTGAAGAAACCCTTCCTTAGTAGCACATATTGTTGAGCCAATATGGGTGACCAAAATTGGGCCCCCAATATTGACCAATGTAACCCCAATGTAAGTCAATATTGGTGTAACAGTGCTATACAATATTGGCGATATATTGTAATTTAATGTCTAACCAATATTGGCTGTATATGGGGATACATTGGGCCAATGTAGCCAATATTAATCGATATAATATTGGTCAATATTGTAATTTAATATCTAACCAATATTGGTTGTATATTGGGATACACTGGACCAATGTAACCCCAAGTTATGTCACCGTAGCCAATGTAACACCAATGTAACGCCAATGAAGTGTGCTACTAGGGTTAACTTACCACTTATTTCTTAACGAACGTCGTACTTTCAAGTGTAAAACGCTTCCCAAACCATCTTATAATTGTTGACCTTAGCTGTGTCTCAGCATGACGCGCGCCAACAAAAAGCTACAAGCGGACGAGCGACCGACGCGACGCGACGGAGAGGAGCAAACAAACCGATCTCCTCGCGCGCGACTCCTCCATTTATTTGCCTGATCTTGAAAGCACGGCGGCGACATCACCTCCCGGATCTTGACCCTCGCTCGTCGTTCTTCTACGCGCGTCTAAAATCGTAAGCAGTGTCGCACAAATAGGTGTCTGCATTAAAGGGACAAAATCGCGCGCGCGGACGGTCGCGCTTTATCTGGCGGATATTTCGAAGCGCGCTTGGAAGCGCGCCATGGAATTTCCTTCGCGCCGCTTTCCCGGAATCTAACGATGCGCAGCGCTATCGAAAAGAAACGGAGCGTCGTTTGAAAGCAGGAGATAAATTGAACGTGCGTCATCGATTCGTCAGTGAAACTGCAAAACTGACTTCACCGGATTTGGAAGCTACGTTTATAACGCTTTTACCGTTACAAGTTACTTGTTTTCACACTCGCTACTCGGTCTGCACGCTAACGACGCTGTGTTTTCTCCTCTGGCAAAAGTAAACGCACCGCAAAAGTTCGTTAATGGATACATTCGGTTGCAAAACGCGCTCTAGACATAATGAACTTCACTGCGCAGCTGATAGTCGAATGAGAGGACTTATTTCTGACCAATTCGTTCTCTTATTATAGACCACCGTTTGCGCTCCGAAGTTCATTGTGACTAAAACGTTCCGCAAACATCGAGAGTACGCGAGAAAACAGATGATCCCGACTACTAAATTTGAATCTCTGCAAAGTATACGAGGCGACGAGAGTCGTTCGTCGCCAATCGACAAGTATTCGGTCGCCGAATTCACGTGAGTCAGATTCAAGTTCTCTCCGTGTGTTGTGTCAACGAGACTTCCTTATTTTCTGTCCTCGACATTCTCCTGAACACTTGACTCCTAAAATCGTTTCTAATCAGGCAATTCAATGAGGTCCTTGCAGAAATTTACGTGTTATCCTGATACGAATGACACGTGGCGGTGAACGCGCTAAACGAAAGGAAAAATTAGAAAAACGAATAAGGCTCCTTCGATAGAGCGAGGAAAATGCTCGAAAAAAAAAAGAGAAAAAAAAAACGAGATCGACGCACGCGTGACAGTGGCTGGAGAGGCATCGAAAATCGATATTCAGTAAATTTCAATAAACACGTATAAGGCTCTCGTTTGAAAATCGAAGATCAAAGGAACACCAGTCCCCCCCGTCCGCTTTCTCGCCGCGAGTTCCTCGCCAACGCGCCGGGAGAAGGCGGGCGGGAAGTTCGGATTTCCTCACGAGCGAGGCGACTGCCAAAAGTTTGACGTAAGTCACGGTATTGAGGCTGCTATTTCGAGGATGGCGATGGTGTATGGATCATTGTTGCACCCGCCGGCCAACATTCTGCATGTCGTCGTAACGCGCGCGGCCGGGCGTGATCGTACGCACTCGCTCACGCACACGCACGCTCTAATCACACACATACACGCTGGTCGGAAGTTCTAATTTAATTCACCTTTATTTTTACTGTACATTGAGCGTATATATCGTCATACATACATGTGTGTATATACAAAGGTACAAAAGTTAATCACCTTGCTGACTACTGGAAGAAATCCTCCGCGGATATTCGTCCGAGCCGCGTGTAAATTTAAAAAAGGGAGAAAAGGAAGGGGAAAGAGAGAGAGAGAGAGAAAGAGAGAGAGAGAGAGAGAGAGAGAGAGAGAGAGAGAGAGAGAGAGAGAGAGAGAGAGAGAGAGAGAGAGAGAGAGAGAGAGGAGAGAGAGAGAGAGAGAGAGAGAGAGAGAGAGAGAGAGAGAGAGAGAGAGAGAGAGAGAGAGAGAGAGAGAGGAGAGAGAGAGAGAGAGAGAGAGAGAGAGAGAGAGAGAGAGAGAGAGAGAGAGAGAGAGAGAGAGAGAGGAGAGAGAGAGAGAGAGAGAGAGGAGAGAGAGAGAGAGAGAGAGAGAGAGAGAGAGAGAGAGAGAGAGAGAGAGAGAGAGAGAGAGAAGAGAGAGAGAGAGAGAGAGAGAGAGAGAGAGAGAGAGGAGAGAGAGAGAGAGAGAGAGAGAGAGAGAGAGAGAGAGAGAGAGAGAGAGAGAGAGAGAGAGAGAGAGAGAGAGAGAGAGAGAGCGAGAGCGAGAGAGACGGATGCTCCGAAGATACCGCGCAAAATTACCGTGTTCCCGACATCGCGCGATAAGACGACCCGGGACGAATATCTGCTCTCCTGTGTCTGAGCAACACCAGTGCATAAATCGCGTTCCTGTCGCGAGAACGATCGCCTCCGCGCGCGAAACAAAACAGCTGAGAGTCTCGAAACGTACGAAACGCATTTAGCGGCTGCGCGAGCGGCTAGTAACGAGTGCAAGTGGTTTCTCTTTTTTTCTTTTTCTTTTCTTCCCCGGTGAGCAGCGTCGCTTACCTAAGAATATCACGTTGCTCGCACGTTGCCCCGCGTCACACACGTCGATGTAGAAGTAGAATACTAACGTAAGTAGAAAGTGGGAGGATGGCGCCTCCACAGCCTCGTTTTATTGTACTCGTCGCACTGACTCGTGGACTCGCGTGGTGCCGTGAGAGAGATCGCGGGAGCTCACGGGGGGAAGGTTACAGCTTCCTCTCGAACAGATCCTGCCCGGTTTCACGCCGAGTTTTCTGGCAATGCGAGAAAATGCGGACTATCCGCGGTATTACCGCGCAAAACAACGGGGCGAATTTAACCGAGGAACACAAAGGATCGTCGACAGAACGTTATATTGTTCGATAGAACGATAATGTTCAATGACGTCCAACGTTCCCTGATGCGCCGCTCTTGACATTATTATAAATGAACTCTGACGCTTCTTCAATATTCCCTGGAACACCCTAAAGCCTCCTAAATCTTTTCCAAGTTTTGCTCGCTAAAATTAATATATCTGTGAAGTATTTAAAAAATATCAAGCCCCGAAGGCATTTGAAAAAAACATAACCCGTCAAAGAGTCCATCCGATGTTCTCTCGCAGGATTAAAACGGAAAAAGACAAAGGATGAAGACGGTATGTTCCTCGATTAAATCCCAACGCAACGCCGGGCAATGCAACGAAAGAATCCCGCCGGTAATTTCCACTGTAAGATTCTCACCGCGCACACCTGCGGATCGACTCGCCGATCCTCGCGAGTCCGCTAATAAAAGTCGTAGAGGAGGTAGCGGTGCAACGACTGCGGCAGCTGCAGCTTCCGCACGATCTTCGGCAGCTTCGTGCCGCAGAGCCTGCGGACGATCAGCCTCGCCTGGTGGGTCAGCGGCAACGGGGTCCTCGCCGCCTCCATGACCAAAGCCTTCTGCGCGTCCGTCAGGCTGCTGGAGCGCCGGATCATGCAGGGGTCGAAGCTCTCCGCCGCCTCCAGCAGCGCCCGCAGCAGCCGCGGCTTGTCCGCCATGTTCTGCAAGGAGTTGAGGATGCCGTGCGGGTCGCGGAACTGCGTCTTGATCACCACCCGGGCGCCGTACTTGAGCAGCAACGCCACCACCTCCACCGACGGATTCTCGTTCGAGGCCACGTACTCGGCGAGGACCGGCCGCAGCGCCGGGCCGTCGTCGCTGCGGATCACCAGGTTCGGATCGGCGCCGCGCTCCAGCAGCATGCACAGGATCTCCAGCCGATTCGGGATGTTGTCCGCGCAGGCCACGTGCAGAGGTGAGCCGATGATCGGTGACGTGGCGTTCACGTTGGCACCTGCACCGGTAAAGCAAGTCTCGTCAAACTGACGTGTCAACGACGTCATCGACAACGAGGGATCGCGTTGATTTGGTTGTGCAATTTCAAGCGACTAAATTATTCTCTCTCTCTCTCTCTCTCTCTCTCTCTTTTTCCGAGCATAAAAAATGATTACGTATAATTGTGTAAAAATTTTTGAACTATTAATTGACAAGTTACTATAATTTTATTACTAATTACATATAAATATACATAATTGCATACAAATGATAGGTAATTATAATATTATATATAATTATATAATTATTATTATATAATTACATACAAATGATAGGTAATTATGATTTATACATTTATATGTAATTATGTGTATAATAACATATAAATTAAATATAATAAATATATGTGATTTTATATCTCTTCACACAAGTTGAAAATCAACGCGAGCTCTCATTAAGTTTTTAGAATATAATATAGAAGAATGATAGGAAATACCTGAATTTTCCTGTCAATGTACCGCTGTGCAGCGTTGCGATAAGAAATGCGAAATTAATCTCGGCCGATGCGACATAACATGAAGCTTATAATGTAATAATCAGTTTTTCGAAGCGTGAAGCTACGTCGACGAATACGTCATCTCTTGCATGACTTACTGCAACTATTTGATTGTTTAACCACAGCCGAAACGGCGCTGGTGTAACTTATACAATCTCTGACCTTTATAAAAAAAAACTGAGATCTCCACGAGAGATACTAATTATCAATTTTCTTGAAAACAATTCAAAAGTTCATATTTGGCTCTTCGAAGAATCGTGTCACTTACAAAAGTCTTTCTTCCCGACTCGCTCGCAGTTCGAAGACATCTTACCGCCTGGAGAACGTTCGTCGTCGACGCCGAGGACGCGATAACAGATAGAAACCTACTCGACTCCCAGTCAGAGTCTCGTAACGTTGATTCGACGTTGATTTGGTCAACGCTAAAATGGTCGTCAATCAATGTTAATTCAACTCTCATCGACATCAAATCAACGTTGTGCTTCTGACTGGAGCCGTGAGTGTAGAGGACATCCTGTTCGCGTCTTACCAATATCGGCGAGAGAAGCTCCTGGCTGAGGCGACGCGATCCGGAGATCTATCTATCTACTTATCCACCTATCCGTCTGGGACCCGAAAGCACAAAAGGGTCGTGTGCGTGGCCCGGTGCGGCAATCAACGTCGAACAACGTATTCGGCACGCGATGACCTTCGAATGCCGAATGATTCGGCCGTATGCCAGTATCGCGGATCGCAACTCACCCGCTCGGAGCAGCATCTCGACGATCGACGGGTCACCCTTGAGTATGGCCAAGTCCAGGGCCGTCGGTTTCTGGTAGTCCGCTCCCAGGTCCAGCCTGGCGCCCTGCTTCAACAGCAGATTGATCACCGCCGGGTCGCCGCCGAGGATCGCGTAGTGCAACACGGTGCGGTAATCGTGCCTGGCGTCCGCCATCGAGTTCACGTCGGCACCGTAGCTCAGCAACAGGAGCACCGACGCTATACCCTGCAGCAGCCGTGCAGCATCGTTCAGTTCAGCATCCCCTCCCCCCCCCCCCGAGATTCCATCGCGAATGCGGAACGTTAAGCGCAGGACTCGAGGACAACGCGATCCCTCTCGCGGCACGCCCGATCGAAAAGACGCGTGAGAGATATTAGACAAGTTGGAAAGCCTTTTGGCTAGCTTTGCGATGACAATTTTAGAGTCCGTTGTGTTATTTGAGGAAACAGCACTTAAGGTCAATATATAATGGCTCCCTTGTTGAAAGTCACTTAAACCAGACGGAGTCGCTAACGCGAGGTGAGGAAACAATCGGCGACTGCGTCTGGTTTTTCAGAGTTTCAAATGCGGTCCGTATTGATCTTCTATTTATTTTCGTAAAGTATGAATTATCTTGCTGGAGGAGGTCTGCGACTGACCGAAACATTTATAATCAGGAGTTGAGCGATTCACAAATTTGGAAGTAAGTTGAAACATCAACAACCCACGACGAGTTAACCGCGTTAGCCGGGCACCAACGTTATTTGTCAATTTTTCTGCCTATAATTATACCTGCACTGCCCTTATTTACTTTTTAGAGCCCGTTAATATATTTAGATATTCCAGATAAAGAGGGTAGAAGTTAGCTACCTGTGGTAATCTGGCGGCCTTCATGAGAGGAGTCAACCCGGCGCGGTCCCGCGTGTTCGGCTGAGCGCCGAAGGCCAGCAACAGCTCCATGCACTCCAGATCGAGCGGTGACACCAGATTGATCTCGGAGCCGAAGAAGTACCTCTTGTTCGGATTGGCGCCAGCCTCGAGCAGCGTCCTCGCGACCTCGACGTGGCGGTTACGCAGGGCTAAGCGCAGCGGCTCGTCACACAACATGGTTCTGCGTCAGGGAAAACTGCGTTAGTCGAGCTTGAAGTCTACGCTACTTCGCTCGAGCAAAAAGTTCACTAACAATCTATATATAATCATACGTCCACTCTGAGAGAAAATGCTGTTGAACAAATATAACTGAAGTAAATGTTTGCGTTCACAGCAGCCTACGACATTTAATGGAACCAGACTACTTTTCTCTCCTTCATTCAACAGAATTTTCCTTCCGTCTGGACATACATAAATTAATACATATATAATTAATTATATAAATTAATTATAAATGGTTACATATGTGATGACCACATGAAGACAAAAAGTGATTTATATAAATTATATAAAATTTATATAATTTATATTTTTTTCACATATAATTATATAACGCAACCATATTTTTTCCAGGAGATGATTTCACCGTGTGTGACTTCAACGCGTCTCACTGTCACGGAGGAAGATGAGAGGGGCGGGCTCACCTGGGAAACAGCTCTCCCGTGTCTTGACGGTGGTCTACCTTGGCGCCATACTTCAACAGCAGCTTCACCAGGTCCAAGTAACCGTGCTCGGCGGCGAGGTGCAGAGCGGAGTAGCCGCATTCGTCGGTGGCGTCGATGTCGGCGCCGCGCACCAGAAGAAGCTGAGCGGCCTCGGTGTAACGCTGCCAGACGGCATAATGCAGGGGCCTGAGGCCCTGAGTGACCGGCTCGTTGGGCTTGGCACCGCAGGCCAGGAGGATGCGGATCTCATCGAGAGGTTGCAGCCGTATTATCGAGTCGGCCAGTTCCCGTTGCAACGGGTTGGCGATGCACTCGGTCGGCATCTACACGGCACAACACACAGACAGAGATGCAGAGTAAAGAGCGAGAAGTAAGGAAGAGGGGGAGAGAGAGAGAGAGAGAACGGGGAGGTTGCACAACACGAGTTTGCAACGTGTTTCGTGTGCTATTGGCAAGAACTGCGGAAGAGACTTCGCGACAAAGACGATCAGCTGATGCGCAAACTTGATTTCGGCGAGGAGAACCGCGCGAGGAATCTATCATCTATTCGGTGAATCTGTCATCTATTCGATGAATCTGTCATCTATTCTACGTTCGTAATAGCGGGGACCAAGTGGAGTTCTCGAGATGGTCCCCTTAAACGGAGCTGAAAGGAGACCACTAGAGGAACGTTGCAAGCGCTGATTAAACCCAGTGATAATTTCATAATTTTACATGATATCAATGTCAACACTTTGACACCGGAGTCAAGTAATTTATAGTTAATTCACGATGTTAATTTATCACGTTCAATTCGTAATTTTTACTTAATTCATAATTACGTATATTTATCAGTAGGAAGCGATATCTGACAAATTTGGCGCTTGGAACTTTCTCTTCCGGTTCATCCCTTCAGTTGCTCGGAGATCATTAGTTATACACACACAACACATCGAGCATTTGGTCCTTCGTTACTCGTTTAAGAAAAAAAGCTTTCGCGACGAGAATCCGACGTGTACATGACATGCAACGCTAACATGCATCTATCGTACGTAGATACGCACTTTATTATCGAGTCTGATGATGCGTCTTAAGCAACGAGCGCGGAAAAGCGACAAATCTGCAATACAAAAAAGAAAGCGGTATTAATTCGGGGAGTTGACGGTTTAAGAGGAAAGACCAGTCTAAATTTGCCTCTCGCAGCTGTAGAATTTATCTCGTCATGTTCTCACGAAGAGCTGAGACTTGTTTTTCTCGCAAGCTTCAAATGAAGCCTCTCTCGCGCCTCTCTCATTCCCGACTGCCACGCAAAATTAGATATAGTTAAAGAAATTTCCCGTTGTTTTTTTTGCGTTACGACACGGGGTGTCTCGTGGCGTCGGAGCATTTTCGCTAATTAAAGCTCATTTCTACAGCGAAAGTTTCGTCTCTGAGATACGAACAGATATTCACAAATAAAACGGATTTATTTTTGCTGGGCATTGATATGACAGATTTGCTGAAGTCCAAATTCTTACATTTAAATGAAACGCTAAATTTCTTGGAGTGAAATTCCACTCGGGAAGCGAAACGATCATCGAATTCGAGTGATTTTTCAAGGCGACTTTAAAGGGCGCTGTTCTCGTCGTAGAAATTTATTCAGACTCAAAAACCGCTCCGGGCTTGAATGAAAAATTCATTCTTGCGCGATTTGGAGCGGCAATATTTCTACTTCGGGTGAAAATCCTGCTCCTTTTGAATGAGATATTCCACCCTCCAATTCCAAGAAATTTGAAGAGTAAATAATCATTTTCGTGAAGAATTACAGATTTAAACGTCCACCCGAACAGTATTCTTCTCAGGGTAAAAAAAAATATACAATTACAAGTAAATATGTTATTAGTATCTATCGAATAAAATATTTTTTATTTCTCCGATATTTCTATTTTACACCTAAATATTTCTTTCAATCCATTTCTTAGATGTTTTTTCTTTTTCAGCGTACCAACGTCGACCAGGTCTTCATCTGAATTAAAATTCTACTCGGACAAAGACCTAAACTCGGTTGACCGTTTAATCGACGTCGGCAGGAACGGGCGTGAAGCACGATTTCCGCGCTTCCGTAGTTAGAGTGATCGCGTATCGTCGCGGATCTTCGCGAAGATTTTCCTCCGGCTGATGAGCAATCCCGTTTGCGATTCGTAAACCGTTTCGTACGATTTGGCTGACGATAGGTGAGTAATGCAATCACTGCTCTTTCTCTCTCTCTCTCTCTCTCTCTCTCTCTCTCTCTCTCTCTCTCTCTCTCTCTCTCTCTCTCTCTCTCTCTCTCTCTCTCTCTCTCTCTCTCTCTCTCTCTCTCCCTCTTTCGCGTGCGGGGAGTTTCGTCGACGCACGTCATGAGCCTCGAAGCTCTGCCAAAAGAACGGCGCAATTTTGGCGATGATGCCGGAAGTCTCGTGGCGTCGGTCGAGAATCACGCAGTCTGCGTTCTCGCGCAGACAGTCCACTTAGAGTGGCGCGAAACGTACTCACGAAGAGCATCCTCGTCGCTCAGCGCGCAGAACCTCGCGGGGTCTCGCGAGACGATGTGATCCGAATCACCTCGAGAACTGAACTCGCTTCTCGTCCCGACCGCGAAAAACTCACCCCGCCGACTTGGCGAGGCCACGAGAATCAGGCCGAGGCTCGTCCTTCTTCGCGAATCTCAAGCGCAGCTGATCTCCTCGAGCTCTGATAGACGCTCACGGCTAAATTTAATTAAGTAAATTTCCCGCTTCTATTTATACCAAAGGTAGAGAACTGTAATGCGCGAAAGAGGCGGCGAGTCGCTTCGACGCGATCGGCTTGCAATTCGCGGAGATCCTTCGGGATTCTCCGCATTCGTCAGCAGAAAAGGCAGCTCAGCTGACGCTTCTCCGCTTCGTATGACAAAGCGGGATTCTCCGTTCCGCGATTTTCCCGGGCGATTTACGTTTTTCCCGCATGTTTATCAAGCAGTCGCCATTTTGTTTCCAGCGCACTCCCGACACGCTGGAGCGTTTGGTAAACACATCGGAGGAGCGTAAACCGCCGAACGCCATCGGGCAAGAAATCAGCATCGCGGCGGTTCTTCCGCGGCCGGTGATCAGCCAGGGGAAAGTGACGATCGCCTTCGATAATGCTCGCCGTTCGATGTATTCTTGGCATCCTCGCGAGATCAAGATCGATCCGAGCGGTACGGGCCGGCGCGGCGCAACGGCGTAGAAGAATCGATATTCACTGCCAATTTTCGCCGCGGACGCCCCGCTATCATAAACATTTCGGTACGGGTTGCTGCAAGATCGCGATAGCGTCGTGCAACATCGCACTTCGACCGGTCCCGTCGCGAATTCCGAATCCGTCGAGATTCTGACACCTGTCAAGCGACGATCAAGGCTGCTCCTCCCCTGTCGTGGAATCAACACAAGCTGTCGAACGCGGCGATAACGCAAGCGCGCTTCCTAGTCAGAAGCACAACGTTGACGTCCGACATCGATGAGGGTTGAATTAACGTTGATTCAACGGTTCATCGACCATTTCAACGTCAAATCAACGTCGAATCGACCTTACGGTTCTGACTGGGTTGATATTACTCGTCTCTGGCAGCTTTAGTGGCTGTTGAATTGTCAGTAAGGAAAACAACTCGATTTGCAAGAAAACTCGCTGCAAGCCGAACCTTGGAATTTTCTAGCGAAGCGTAAATTACTTAGCGTTGCACACGCGGAGGAAACAGGTCGGTTCGACAAGTACGATAATGACACCCAGTCGGAACCACGTTGACTCGACGTCGATGAGGGTTGAATTAATGTTGACTCAACGGTTCAGTAGCCATTTCGACGTCAAGTCAACGTCGAATTAACGTTATGGTTCCGACTGGGCATAACACGCTCATCGGAGCCAAATTTTTCGGACTTCTTACTCAGTAAACAGCGATCAACAGCAACATTACCGTTACAATTTCTCACTCAACAATGTATTCAACTGTCACACTCGCACCGCTGAGAGTGTAAACTTGCAATATTCGCGCAGAACGTTGCTGTCAGTCGGTGTCTATCAAGCAAACGCCAAGCAGCAAATCCGCCGCTCGCTTCGAGCGAAACACGCTCGTCCTGGTCACCACTGCTCGACCAGTTCTCTCCTGCGTCCACTAAAATGGAGGAACCGCCGTCAGGTGACAGCCCGACCGACAAAAAATTTCCGATACGGCCTCGTCGCGCACGAAAAAAATTCCCACAACGGTCTGCCCCTCGTCCTCGCGTCAATCGGACGGTCCTTGCGGGCGGCAGGAGGGAGGGAGGAGGGGGAGGGAATCTAACGCACGCGATCTGTCACGCGGGCGATCATCACAAACGGTTCGATCAGCGCGAAACGGTCAGCACGAGGTCGTCGATGGCGCAGCATCCGGCGGCTTGATCGGCGTGTGAAAGCGAGCGAAGCGGACCGAACAACGCACGCGCGCGCGCGCGCGGCTACGCAATCGCGCTCTTATTGTTTACTCACATCGAAAACGGTGCGATGCTCCAGCATGTAGGAACGATGTCACTAACTGCCTTCTTCGTCGGCCGCCCGGTCCTATTTAAAGCTTCGACGAACGGCGATTCGCGCCGTTCCGAAAATAACACAAAGGGACGGCGCGGGAGTTTGCGCGCCGAGTCGCCCTCTCTCAGCCTGTCTTTCTCCCTCTCCCCTCCCCTCTCTCTCTCTCTCTCTCTTCCTCTCTTGGCTGCTACGCAATTTTTATCTCAGCTTGCGTGTAGAGAGACGGATAGATGCGTAGATGCATCACTCACGTGTCGCTCTTGCCTCGCCGTCGTTTTCTCACCTTTCGCACCGTTCGCCACCGTCATGGCCGCCATGATTGTCCTTCCGGATACCGCTGGTCCTGCCGCGCGTCCTTTCCGCACGAGCGTCGCGCTACCAATGTTTATCGCGCCGCGAGACACGTCTTGACTTTTCCTTTCCTGTCTCTCTCTCTCTCTCTCTCCCGCCCCCCCCCCGCCGCCACCCTCCGTTCTCATTCTCCGGCTATCACTCGCTCGCTTCTCACGTGCGTTTGTTTTGAGAATTGTTTACGATAGGTGCGTTGGCGCGCGTGGCGATATCCGGTCACGCTAAGCACGCACTTGGCGGCATTGTCGATGCGACGCTACACGAGACGCCTTGGAAATCCCGACCGGTACCGCATTTGATTGGCTTACCACCGCCTGTGCGTGATTAGCAAAAACGCGATTCAAACGGCGCTGGCGGCAGGTAATCGTTACACACGTGCGTTCAAACGATTGTTGTTGTCAAATGCCCATCAAATTTGTCGTCAAATGCCTGTCAAATTTGTTGTCAAATGCCCGTCAAATTTGCTGTCAAATGCCCGTCAAATTTGTTGTCAAATGCCCGTCAAATTTGTTGTCAAACGTCCGTCAAATTTGTTGTCAAATGCCCGAACTTGTTTCTAGATGTTGATTCTAGTTTGAGAGAATGGTCTCGTTTCCTGGAGTGTCCCGGAGCGTCCTAAGGACGTCTTGTGCTATCCGGGTGTCTTTATCCTTGTACCGCGCTCATCATTGCGGAGAAACATGCCCGGTCGATGCAAATGTTTAAAATACGTCTTAGAGACATCTCGAAGAGACGTCTCGAACAAGTAGGACATCTCTCGGACGTCCGTACGACGTCGTTCAGATATTTATACCGAACGAATGTTTTCTTTTTTTGTTTGCCAAATTAATGTCAACAACAATGACAATGAGCGAATTATCTCAGAGGGGAAAGTGCGTAGCAATAATGCCGAATCCGGGCGTTGAAAGACACGGAAAAAATTACCCCGTCCGTGTAACTGAACTTTCCGTTGCCTGGAAGTCGACAGAGTATCGATGTAGTGACGGGCGATCGCGATTTGATTTTCAAAAAATCCATCTTTTCCTCCCAAACTCGGTCTTTTTCGATTAAATTTCTCGATCGATTAAAAAAATCGGTCCGATTTTCATACAAATCGATTCTTTCAAACGCTGACCTCGCTTGAATTTTTTATTAGACGAAACGACATTGACAAAGAAGTATTGTATATCAACGGATCGAAACTCGATTCTCTATCGAGGAGAATCGATTTGTACAAAAATCGAGCAGAGGATCAATACATAAAAAGATGAATTTCCTGAAGATCGAATCGCCTATCACGTGTAGTTTCGATACAGCTGAACGTTCAGCCAAATATTTTCGATCATTAGGGAGTTTTTGCAATAATGTCTCTCAGATACGGTAAACGTTGATCGTGAATACGACGACTATCGGTCGTATGTATGGCGACGTTGTTTCTCAGCGAATAACATTCACGATTTATGTTTACCGTATCTGAAAGACGATGTGTGTATGTTGCAGAAACTCCCTATTATTTCTCTGCACCGAATTTTCGTCTGATCCTCATTCAGTCGCAGAAGCCGAGATTTCTTTTCACACGTACAGCTGTGGCGATAACGATGTTGGTGATCAACACACGCGTATCGTACGCGACGAATCTCGTACAACACACTTGAGGAGAGGGGAGATCTCGGTTTCTATTAATAATTACAATATGCGTACTCGCGCATGGATCGGACTCGACTAGGTGCGACTCGACGCGAACGCTGTTACGTTTCCGCGAGAAGACGCACAAAGAGATCTCTCGCGGGGATCTCCCGTGCGAACGGTCGAAGACCGCCGACCACCACTGGGCCGCTCTTTCTCTCTCTCTCTCTCTCTCTCTCTCTCTCTCTCTCTCTCTCTCTCTCTCTCTCTCTCTCTCTCTCTTTCCCGCTGCCGTTGTCCACGTCTACGTCTCACTACACGGGAAGTTCACTGATCCTCCGATCCGAAATTAAACCGAAACCAATTTCTCTGAAGCTGCCGGCGACGTGCGCGCCCGAGAGAACGTTCGCGACGCGATGACACCGGAAAGGCGCTTTCTTCTCTCGTTGAAAGCTCGGAGAAAGAACGCGGTCCATCGAAGAGAAACGCCGCTTATGTCGAATCACTCGCGTGACACACGCACACAACACATGTAACGTAACATGTGCATGACAGAACGCGCATTTTGGGAAGGTCGTTACTCCGAAAACGTTATTTTTTTTTCGAGGAACTCGGGGAACAGTGACATTGACGCAATCCACCGTCACTTCGTCCCGGCAATGATACCTTACAAGTGGCTGGAATAGCAAAATTATCCGAGTCCAATCAAGCCAGATGAAGTCATCAAACTGGGAAATCTTGAAGCTGACTCAAATTTTCGAAGGTTCGAAGAGTCACCACGAGCGCATCTTTGGCCGAATTTGAAGCGTCGTATTTATCCGCTGTCCGAATAATCGGATATCAAGAGACAGTGTTGGAGATCTGAGCGAAGCTCTGACGCACACACACACACCGACGGGAAACGCACACAATGACGGGCATTTCTTAGTCCTGGAGAATGAAACCTGTTTCGAAATGAGCGATTTACCTGGATCGCGTGCGATTATAGGAGTCCTCTTCTAAATATAAGCGCGCATTTCGTTCAAAAGCGATGCGAAGGACACGATGCAATCATGCAAGGCGAACCGGTACCGGCGATAGTCGGCAATGCGATTGAGCGGCATAAATGAAGTTTCATTCTCGCGCGCGCGAGACCTTGAAGAGGTGCGAAAGCAAGGTCAGCGACCGATGATAGGGCGAGATGCGAGATAAATGAAAACCAAAGACTCCTATGCGTCTCTCCCGTCACACAAGAGAAAGAGAGAGAGAGAGAGAGAGAGAGAGAGAGAGAGAGAGAGAGAGAGAGAGAGAGAGAGAGAGAGAGAGAGAGAGAGAGAGAGAGAGAGAGAGAGAGAGAGAGAGACCGTCGCCGTTGTCGTCGTAATTTTCCTGACATGCGAACAAAGGCACGACGACGACGATCGCCGCGCTGGCGCGTGTAACAAGAAACGACAAAGCCGCGGAAAACAATAAAGAGCGACTCTCCCAGGGCACATTTTCAGCAGTACTTTTTATTAGGAAATACTTTGCACTTATTAAATGCCTCTTATATTTATAATTAATTTTAATTATAATAATTATTGTTATAGCGTTGTTCTATCTCGCTACGTAGAAGCATGCTTTTCTAACACATGTTACACGATCTTAAAATTATAAGCATTTTTTTTTATTCCTTAAAATACAGCTTACTCGTAAATCAAACAATACTCGAATGTTACAAAGCCGACAAGTGCTCTCAGTTTCGAGATGCGCGGTCGCCCCTCTCACGGGAGGATCCTCCAGAAAAGTCACTTGATGAAAATTCGGTTCGAATGGTAAATCGAGAAAACGTCGAAGGTATGTGCGTCCACACTGGGATATAATATTTACGCGCTTCTCCGACTTCCGGGACTCCCTACAATCCCGCATCGGGCGTGATCCATTTAAACGATTATAGACAATTAGGATTTTTCCCTCGTCTGTCCTCCCTCCGTGAAGAGTTTCACTTCACTTCACGAGTGGCTAGAATGTTCGAATTGCTCTCGCATTAGTAATTAAAATGAAGTAATAATGATAATATTCGCCGACAGAACGCAATGGACGTAGTCTGTCGGAGCAATTAAAGGTAGATTTAATATACTCTCTCCGGGCACGCTTTTCTCTTTTCCTTCACCCTTTCCTTATCTCTTTTCCGTTTTTTTCTTTTTTTGCTTTTCTCTCTCTTTACACACACACACACACACACACACACACATACACTCACATTCTCCCCCCCCCCTCTCTCTCTCTTTCGGAAGTCAAGATTACTTTCAAGAATACACACGTGATCGTGAAGACGTCACCGTCCGTTGCGCCAAGGATTTCTTGCCTCGATGCAACATCGAATCCGTCTAACGTTCTCATCAAGAATCTCATTCAAGTTATACACTTAACATTGTCGCTATTATAGTTTTCTATACTCTCCCTCGTATCGTTCTTTTTTCACTCCCTCGTATCTTTCTCTCTTTCTCTTTTCGGCCATACGTCATATCTATTATATAACGAACCCGTAACCAATTAATTAAGATGTTTTATCTCTTTGTCTCGCTCGCTCTCTCTCTCTCTCTCTCTCTCTCTCTCTCGCTCTCTCTTACTCTCACGCACACACATTACCTTACGCGAATTACAAAAGCTGGTTTGTCGCGAGCAAACCGAACGGCACGGTTATTCTGCGAATTGTATTACAGTCACGACGAGCTCATCCTTCGTCCGTTGTATTTTGTCTCTTTTGTTTTGTGTGCGCATGTGTATGTGTGTGTGTGTGTGTCGTGTGATTATGTCCACGTGTATGAGGTATGTGTGCGCACACGCACGCTCGCGTATGTATATACGTGTATTCTCGCGCGTACACGTGTCCGCATTACACTGAATCCCGCGCGCTTCGGCCCGCATTCGGAACGCTTTGTCGCAACGGCACCGATGATACTTTAGCAAAATCGAGACACGTCGTATCGCCTCTGTACCGCGATTCTGTAACTCATTATTGGAGTTAACGACACTTTCGTTATCGTTGCGCAGCTTTTGTATACCGTAGAAAAGCTGCGCAACAATAACGAAACTGTCGTTAACTCCAATAACGAGTTACAGAATCGCACCACTGCCGCAAAATCCAACTGTACATTCGGCGCCGATCACGTCGCCGATATCAGCGTGTGTATTTGGAACAACTAGAGTTCTAAACGTGGAAGCTACACAGAGGAGAATATCATTCCACTGCTAAAAGAAGCAGTTTATTTTTCTTCCTTCAAGTATTCATTATCTTCAGCAAAGAATATTTCTTCGATGATAATCTTAAGATATAATCATCATCAATCTTAGGCATCTCATTATTACTCTCAAAGGAAAAATATACATTATTCCCTTCTCGAGAATATTAGAAAATTTCAAGAATATTATAGAATTTAATTTAAATTTAACGTTTCTATTGTGATTTAATATTAATTTAATTAATTGAATTTAATATAAATATATTTAATTTGCTGAAATTTAGAATGCATTTCAAATAAATTTAATGAAAAGTTATATGAACAGATATTGATTGATTATGCTTACGATGTAAACTTACGATAGATTTGTAACTATATATAAATTTATGAAATACTTGAAACAAGTTACATTCACTTGAATGTGTTATATATCTTTCCACGTGTAGCTACCCCATAATTTCTCACACAAGAACATCGAGTCTCGTTGATAGAAAAAAGAAGAAATTAAGAAACCGTACGAAATTAATCGACATAAATCGAGTACAATGTTGACACGATGCTTGAACGATACCTTCAATTCAACTTAACGTTTCTTGAAACGTCGATGAAACGAAAACGCATGTTTCGTGAGCGACGAGATCGCGTGAAAATCCGAAAGATACTCGAAGATATTACCGCGCGTACATCACAGCGTTCTAAATGCGGGCTTTCGGGAGTAACACAATGTACAATTTGTGTGTAACGATAATAGGTGTTTGACTATCTAAGGAAACGTGCGACGATGCGATCGGTAGTCGGCTCTTCACATGCGACATCATGGTCCGACGATACAGAATTGTATATCGCGAGCCGCTTCTCGAGTATGTTCCTGGCAATCGAGCGCCGCGAAGAGAAGAACCTCAACAAGCCGCGAATCATCGGAGGAGATCGGAGAGACGAAGCGCCAGCGCCGATTCAGTGTAACATGTCGCATACTGCAGATATAATATAAAGCCCTAGTGATCATAATAGAGTGTTATTACTCTTACGGAATCTACGGTTAGAAAATTGAACTCTTATTCAAGTCAGTAATCCGTCGCTACAACTCATTTACGAAAACATCAAAGCATTTAATTTCCACTCGCGCGATCGTAAATAGGCAAGCAATCGTCTGTTAAAGATTTACATTTCCAGGAAGATAATTAATACGTCGGTTATCTGCGAGATCGTCCGGAGTACATTTCCCGACGTAACACGAAGGAGCACAAAGTACAGATCAATCTCAAACGAAGAAGAGTTACACATATATATATATATAATAAACATTACAATATGTACGTGCGAATTCCTATCAATGAAAAAGATTTCAATCATGATATCGTGATACTGATTGAAACGACGATTTCAAAGCTTCCGACATGCCCTCGAATTACGCTCACTCGCGTTCACGACGCGTTACCTCGAGAAGCTTACCGCACGCAGCCGTACATAATCCGAATTATAATATTAAAAACTTAAGCTAAAAAATGGGACACATAAAAATACAACTTATACAAATATATACTGTTCAGCGTTGCCAAAAGTACGATGCAATATAATCGTATGTGCATATAGTCCGAGAGATAACAAAATGACCATCGTAAACGCACTGATACGCAAACAGATCTATCTCATCTCTGTGTGTATGTGTTGGACTTTTATAATTGCATTGCCTATTTAATTCACATTAGGTATTTATCTCGGTAACTGTAAAAAAGACTTAAAAATAAGTGATACGAGGTTCAAAATCGACTCTATAGAGCTTTTTTTTTTCTTTTAAGGATTCTATCTACAAATAATAATACCATCATAAAAACGGAGAGACCAAAGCAATATATATATAGTATCATGTAATTAAATATAATATAAACTGCCTCAAAGTGGCTACCTATATATTTACTGCTACAATAGTGGCTATGAGATAATAGTCATTAAGTATCGTTCACACTTCTTTGATTGTGGTTTAGTTACATACTTTAAGACATTATGATACATGTGAGTATGACACGGACTTCCACTAAAAATATTTGTTAGATACGCTGAGCATTACTGACTTAAGCACTGTACTAAATTCACATAAAATGTATTATGTATTATTATAGAAAACTAATTATTTCTCATTGGTTTGAAATACTGGTTTAATAGATCCGTATAAAACCTTTGTCAACTGGAACTCTTAGAACAATGATTTACACGATACTGATTCTCTCGGAAAGAATGCTATATACGAGTAAGTCATTACCTCAACTGTCTGGACATTGCAACAGGCAACAATTGTAAGTCATGTTTTTTTTTTCCCTCTTCTCTCCTTTAGTTCACATTAACATCATTAATATCCAATATGTGACTAATTATTCTCTTTTTGTTTTCTTTCTCTCCCGATATCTCGATATCTTGCAAACAAAAGAAGACAACTGATTAATGTACGTATGATCGCACGTAGAAAATGATTAAATGAGAATAAATACAAGTTACAATAAGATCTGTGACATATGCTGGATTAAATGTTCAACTTGAATCTTGAAAACGTCATTTATCAGTCGGATGGCAGCAGTCTTACTGCAAGTAATAGAAGCTCTAGCAAAGCTCTCTAAAGTTAGATTAGTTCACTTTTTTCCCTTTACACACACGTATCTTGCATATTGTCTAATATAAATAAATTAATGATCCGGTATGAGGCCAGAGAAAGGCAGTTACATTCTAAGTGATAGTAAACTTTACTTTATCCTCTATGTGTTATTGTTCATGTCCATTTTTTTTTTATTATTTTTGTGTATATATCTGGCACTCTTTCCTATTTTTAGGCTGCTTCTCAGTTATTGTAATTTACTTTGCTGGATTATTGCGTTGCATGGAAAAATATGGCTTTATCCAAATGCTATTTAACAAAGGCAATACACCGTTACAATTACATTATATGCGCCACAGTTGTTGTCATATAATTAAACCTCTTTGAAAAGGCAGAACCAGTATTCGTAAAAATAACGAGAAGAGCCGATCTTGTGATTTTTACGGACACCGGTAATTCTTATCATCAATTACAAATGCTGTCATTTGTACACTAGCATGTAAAAAGCATTACACTACATACGTCATGATCGTTCATCTCTTGTGATGTTCAACAAAGCTAAATGGTAAACTTTGAATAAATACCGGTCCTCTTACACTGTATAAGTTATCAAGGTATATAGAATAAAGGCAGAAAGAAGAAACTTTCCTCGACAAAGTGCCTACAAAAATATCTGTATAATAGATTGAGGATTGCTGTGTGTCTAAGACTTTGTCTGGTTATGTTAGCCACGTGTTACCAGTCTTAAACATAGTGACTAATCGTTTGTGGACAAGTCCCGTTGTCTTTCTACAATTTGTATACATTTTGATCTTTTAAGCGTCACTCTCCTGATGCAGCAGGATACAAAGTACCGCCGTATAATTTCCATCATAAAGGCTTATTTAAATTACAAAACGAAAAAAAAAGGGAGGATAAATACTCGGTATACATATGCGTTAACGATGTTACAGATGCCACAGACAACTTAATGAGAGAGTAAGATGCGCTTCACTAAATCATATAAATATATGATGTAATAAAAAATAACTTACACTACGGAGATGTGTCTACTCGTCAAAACATTCTGAGGTCATTAAAAAAATATCGGTTATATCTGACATAGTCAAATTTCTCCTTCTTCCTCTTCTTCTTCTATTTCTTCATCTTTCCTAATTGCTTTAACTGCTTCTTCTTCTTCTTCTTCCTTTTCTCTTTAAATTATATCTCATATAATAAACCTGTTTCGAGCGATATATTGATGTAAGATCCGAAAAAAATCTCATGCTATCCATGTATACAAGCTATATCGGTCACTAAGTAGAAGAACGGAACACGGCTGAAAATTAACCATACGCGTAGCGTTCGTCCACAGCAAAAAGAAATTGTGTTTGTGTTTATCAATATATTTTGTATATATTTTATATGTATATACATATATACATACATATACATACATATATATATATATATACACATATAATATGTATGTATACATATATACTCTGAAGCAGAGTAAGTACTTGCAACTTTTCACTGATTTCAACACGAAAAATGCCTACAGCTCAACTTGGCCCTTCATAACCACTGGCAAATCAAAAATTACAAGTACTTACCAGTTTTGCCCTATAGAAATCGCATTCATCGCGAATGTCGCACCATCATCTGCGCTTACCTACAAAAATCCTGCATACAAAAGTCTCAAACGATAAAATTTCAAACGCAATACGTTAAATATCCGATCTAACATTTTGATTTCCAACTATTTTGTCTCTTCCTTTCGTTTACGTCGTTCTTACGTCGTTCCTCTTATAAGTACACGTCACAATGTAAGGACTTATAAGTATGAATGTGAATCCGATATATATGACGGATGGAATACTCTCGTGCGTAATGCCTCTGAATTCGATTGCAGGGCAAACGTGTCTCATGCGACATTACGTACAAACGTCAACGGTTATAACGGGTTGTACGATCGGTGTACATCATGGTACAGCACGGTGTAGCGTGTAATAAACAATATGTTTTGTACTTAAAAAAAACTGGTTTCAGGCAGTCTCCTAAGAACACCGAGTTCAACATAAATATGTTGCAGTGGCGTACGCTTTGTTGCAGGGGCGTTATGTGTCATGTATGCCCGTCAACTTAAACTTAATGCTGTGTCCGAACTTTGACATATGGTATTTTATGTACATGGAGCGGAGCTGTTCAAGACGCAAATCATAATCTATACCGCGCGAAAACCTACACTCAGTCTACTGAGTAAATGCAGAAGTACGTTGCGTATGTTGTTAACGTAATAGTAGTCTTGTCAACCAGCGCGCGCGCTTCATGTCGCCGCGCCGAGCGAATGGAAGGTGAGTATACAAAATAGAAAAAAAGGTGGATAAAAAAAAATGAGCGAACTCTGTGTGCAAGGCACAAAACTAAAAAAGAAAAAAAAAACCGGGAAAATCAACAATGACACGGTCTGGAACAGCTCGGGGGTGCTGCGATAAAAAATTTGTTCGATTTAACTGAAGTCTAAAACTCACTACTCTTCTTTGTACAGCACTACGGTAGGCTGGAATTTAGGCTCTCCGGCAAACGGTAATTCATCATATGGTACGGAGGACTGGCAGGACTATCCGGTTGACTGTTCATGCCGAGGTTGCTCGAGCCGCGGCCGCGTTTTCGCCTCTGCAAGATGCCCTTCCTAACCATGTAGAAACGGATTGTGCTGATCGGTATGTTGTACTTTTCCGAAGCTACTTGAAACGTCATGCCGCGTGCCACCATATCTGAAGCTTGCTTAAGTTCCTCTTCAGAGCGCCTCTGTCGTCTCTGATAACCTGTGAGAATAAACGTGAGAGAGGCACAAGGTGGCGTTTAATAATCAGCTGGAACATGTAGACACTCGGAAGAACGTTGAAGAGAGAGAAAGAGAGAGAGAAAAAGTATATTCACCTTCGATAGCGGGGAATGGGCTGGTAGGGTTACTGCAATTGTTAGTGGATACCATACTAATGGAATACGGTTTGATTTCTTGTTGTTGAGTAAATTGTTCATCTGGCTCCATCTTCACCATACCCGGAGTTTCGGTAAGTGTGGCCTCGCATGCGCTTAGAGCTTTCTCCAGATGCTGCAATGCCTCACTGTGTTCCATGTTCACAAAGTTGGATGACGAATTGGAATTATGTGGAACGGGCGTGACGGTGTGCGAGGAGCTGTTTCCTGAGCTAGTCGTCGCCATCGCCGAACACGGGAGGAAATTGGAGTTATTACCACTGTTGGTTGAAGTATCCTCGACCTTGAAACTGGGAGTATCGTGCATAGGCGGTGACGGAGTAACAGGCGCGTTAGAATCATTTTGTGTGTTGCTGTCGCTCGAGTTGTTATCACACTGATTGGACAAACCACGTATCTGTCGAAAAATACATGGCGTGAAACGTATCCCATTGTATGTACGGAGAAGCACAGGCTTATATAACAGCGTGCCGCTCACATTAAAACCTCTTTTGTGTCGCGAAACGTATCCGCAAAGGTTAGACCAACAATCAAAAGTGATGAAAATTTAACGAGAACTTCACCAAAACTGGAGATATTATTGGACAGATGAGACACAGGTTACAAGTTACATACTTGCAAAACGTCAGCCGCTTGCATCAATTTTGCTAGTTGTTGTTGCTCGACGTACACTTCTCCACGATACATAAACTCAACTAGAGCTTGGAGTTCCCACATTCTCATATCTCTCAAGAAAATGATGGGATGAGTGCATGGTATCTCCAACAGTAAGCGCTCCAAGTAGTCACTACAGGCAGACAGCACAACTCTGTGACATTTTATCGAGCCTCCGTCACAAGCCAAAGTCACATCGACAAACTGCTCAGAGCTCAGCAACTTTGGAAATGCACTGTGCATGTTGGACTGATGGGAATTCCACGAGACACAGAACTGCTGTCGAACGCCTCCCGGATAATTGATCGGATTAGACAAGTTACTCTCAGATTCCATGATTGCGGCTCAGTAATACACGAATTTCCTGTACATAAGACATCTCATTAAAATCCTATAGACAATGTATCGCATTATAAAAAAAAATAAATCATATAATCAAGAAAACACAATATCTAAAAACACAATATGCTTTAGTGATTGATACTTTAATTAAATAAAGAAGAAATTTTACTTAAAATGCAAAATTGAACTGCAAGAATTAACATGCGCAATATATTTTATAGAGAATATATAGTATATACAAAAAAAAATACTAAAAACAAATAAAAAAAATACAAAAAAGAAAGAAAATAATCAAGAAAAATCATAACAATCCTGAGAAATACCCCTTGGCATTTTAGCTATTCTTTGGATAAATTTTAGCTATTCTTTCTTCCATACATTTGTGTCACCTGAAGAAGTCAACAATAGTAACAATCAGACAGAATTATAAAGCACAGTCATAAAATATAAAAAACAAGAGAGAATAATGTACTAAAAGAAATAAATGAGAATGAATGAGAAGATGTAAAGTATTTTTGACAAAGAGCCTGTCGCATTGTCAACCTGAGACCCGAAGAAGAGACGCATCCGTTGCCGCAGCAAAGAGAATCTCTTTCTTGCGAGCTATTTTCGGCCGCGTTAATTAATAAAACAAATAGCAGATTCGACGTAACGATACCTTATTCGCTAAACCTCGGCCTCAGTAAATATGGTAAAACGCGACGGACCGACGATCTCACTCAGTTATCGAAGGGAAAAAGAAAACAACCGTATTATTTGCCGGAGCGGCAACTAAGCCCGCGTGCGAGGAACTACTAACGTCGGAACAAAGACAAAGAGAGCCGAGTCGCGGCGAGTCCGGTTGCTAACTCGAAATTCGAGCAGGATATTCCCCATAATTCGTAAACGCGAATCATTCGTAAGTGCCCGAAATATCATGCGGCCGCGAGAACCGCTCCGAAACGAAAGATATTATCGCAACGCTGGGGCTAGGTTAACGAGAAACATGACGGTTAAGTTAAAAAAATGTACAATATGGCTGTCTGGCATAGGTCTAGTAACAACAATATCCGTGCGTGCCCATGTATTCGTACGCGCGTGTACACACTCACGCGTATAGCACGCACACCTACACACGAATGCGCGAACTGTACATCCATACCTAACTGTACGCACACGTACACATGTATAGATATATGAATTATACATATATATATATATATATACATAATGTGCGCACTATGTGTGTGTGTATATATATATAAAATTAAACTATCTTCTCATTACACGCGAAATGTGCGAAATGTGTGCGCGATTGATTGAGACGTAACATCGCGCGATCGCGAGTATCGCGTCGATCTCCGCGATCCGGCGAGGAGGATGGCAGGCGCGAACCGGCCGAAAAATCGCTCAAACTCGAGCGAACGCGTGCGACAAAAAGCCGCGTACAGCCGGATGCACTCTCACTCACTCACCCGTCACTCACTCACTTATTCACGCATGTACGCATATACGCTCGTCGTATATACGTACGACGCACGCATGCACAGTGGAGGTGGAGCAACGCGCTCTACGAGCGTCCGCTGCTCGCTACCGCGGAGGTGGACGACGATGACGACGGTGACGCTCGTGTGTCCCGTAATCACGTGTCGGTGTCGGTCTCGACTCGATCGACAGGTTAAGCGTCGCTGGCGCTCACGAGACTATTATAGAAGGCCGGTTTGCACACAATGACCTAGCTCGCACGTACTGTTCGATTGGACACTATAATAAAAGCCGAAATCTTTGCGGGAGAGACTTTGCGTCGTCGTCTTGACGCCTCTTTCGCCGCCGCCGTCGCCGTCGTCGTGGCCGTTGTCGCCGCCGTAGCACACGTTGCCGCATCACCTCTCTTTTCACAGAAATGCCTCGAGGCTCCCATAAGTTTCACCATTTTGTTTGTTCGTATATGCGTGCGTGCGTGCGTGCGTGCGTGCGTGCGTGCGTGCATGCGTGCGTGCATACGTACGTACGTTTGTTCACTCGTTCGTTCACCCGTTCGTTCGTTCGTTCACTCGTTCGTACGTTCGTCCGTTTATCCGTTCACTCGTTCTTTCTTTCTTTCTTTTTTTTGTTCCTTCGTTCGTTCGCTCGTCCGTCATTTATTCGTTCGTTCACTCACTCTCTCGTTCTTCGCGCGGCTTTCTCACGGGACGCCGAGCGTCGTCCCGACTCCGGGGAACTACGTAGAAATGACAATGCGAGTCACACGCATACACTTCACGCGCGTGTTTAGAGCGCTCGTTAAGAAACTGATAATCACTCACGAGTCCGCAAAACGCCTGGACCGACTACTTTCCCAAAATTCGCGTCGCTCGCAGGAAGAATCCCTTAAGAAAACATTCAGTCGCCGAGATTTTCGCTACCTAGGGGAGCTGCGGCCGGAAGGGTGGGGGTACAGAGACTGAGCAAGAAAGAGCATGCGAAAGAGCGAGGGAGAAAGACGGAAACGAGAAGAAAGAGGGAGACGCGGCCGCGACGTGCGGCGGGGAAGCGGGGGCAGTCTGCGCCTCGCCGCATGTGTGTGCGGTGTGCTATGTGGTGTGTATGTGTGTGCGTGCGCGTGGGACACTAGCGCGGCTCTCGCGTGTATTCCGCGAACTGCTATATAGACGCTAGAGATTCCGGACGAGAGAGAGCCCGGGAAGCCGCGAGAAGGAGACGAATGGGCGAGTTAGAGCCGTAAACGGTGACACGGAAGCGCCTCCGTTGATCGATACTTACTCGCACGGCGGAACCGCTGCCGACGTCGACGTCGACGGGACGCACTTCGCACGGCACACTCTATCGTTAACTATCGCTAGAACTAGCGTCGCGACGACGGCCTCTAGCGCGCATCCGATGCTGCGCAGCAAACTTGCGCCGTTCCTTCAAAGCCGCCGCGGCGATTCTTAGACGGGCTTCTTCGGTGCCTTTTTTTCGCTCGCTCGTTCTCTCTGTCTCTCTCTCTCTCCCGCGGCGGACACGCGCGCCGATCGATCGCGCGCGCGTGCGGCGCGATAAATGGACTCGTGGCGATTTCACGCGCCGCCCGCTCGATACGATCTCGTAGCGATCATTAGGCGCCAACGGCCACGCGAATAAGATCTACCGACCCGGCTCGATCTCATGGAAACCGCTCGAAAGATGCGCGCCATAATAGATGTCTGTTCTTTTTTGGTTATATTCTCCACGCGCGCTCGTTTTCTCCCTCCTCCCCTCACCACTCCTTTCATTCGCTCTTTCTCTCATGCGCGCACATTCTCGCTCTATGGAGGAAAATGAAGAATCCGGGAATAACGGAACTAAATATAAACGTACAAAGAAAAAGTATAATTTGTCAACGCTTGCACTTGATAAGAGAATATATTCGTTCGAAAAAAATATATACAGTGAATATAATGCAATGAGCTCCTGTTATCTGAAGATAAAGAATGTCAAATAATGAGAATCCGACAGCACAACAGTCATCTTTGTCAGTATTGGACAAACAAAAAAAAAGTCGATGATAAAATAAAATAATTTTATCTGATGCCCTCGATAAACTTTGTTCGACTTTTGTTCGTTTGAGAAATGATATTTTTGTAGCATTAAAAAAAGAGTATCGTCGAGCTTATGACGAGTATTGGTACACCAATCAAATTCAATCGTCAGATGACAGACTAAGGCCCCTTGCACAATGCCAGTCAACAAGCAATAAGAATAAAAATAGACCAATCACAATCGATTATTACAAGAATAATCTATTGTGATTGGTCTATTTTTATTCTTATTGCCTGTTGCCTGGCATTGTGCAAAGGGCTTAATGCTCGTTTCACACGACTCGCAACTCGCGGGAAGACATTAGACACGCGGTATTACAATTTCAAGAAAATTATCTTGGAGCACAACACGTGCAAATAAACGTATCGATATATTTTACTTCGAAGAATTAAGGTCATTCTACAATACGTGTCGTAAGTTGTAAGCCGTAAAAATTGGCAAATCACAGTCGATTATTACAAAAATAATCGGCTATAATTGGTTACAACGTTCTTACGGCTTACAACTTACGACACGTATTGTAGAATGACTTTAAATCCGAAAAATTTACGTTCCATCGATCGGATGTCGAGCAAGATTTGTAGGTTAACTTAATCCCACGAAGACCTTTGTCGACGATCTCAAATTCTCTGACCCTACGATCCATCGAATCATCTTTGCGAGGTGAAATCAGAGTACACTCGAATTGTTAGAATATTTGCGAGAATAATCCCGCCCTCTTTTTTCTTCGTCCAATTTCTTTTGTAATTTATGCTGTGTGACGCGATAAATTATAAATTAATTTACATAAAGAATATCACCGCCTAAATTCTACATCGTGTATAGCGGCCTTTTGCTTCGCGAAGATACCGACAGATAACGCGTCGGTTCCATTTTGTTTGATTCTACCTCGTGCTTGCGATCGCGTCTACTATTGTGTTGAATAATATACGAATAATAATTGTATATATTTGTGTATATACAGTCAGATCAGTAAATTGATTAAAATTGATCGATACTTTTCATTCTTGGCAAAAGAGAGGAAAGGAAAAATATCCGACAAGAGCTGGTCAACTCGAACGACTCGATCATGTCGAAAATAGCAGGTTATGACACGCACGACGACGGGCCGGGTTTCGTGGGTATCCGATTTTGCCAGGAATGCAATAATATGTTATACCCGAAAGAGGATAAAGAGAACAAAGTCCTGATGTATGCGGTACGTAACTCTTTGTAATCTCCCTTCCCCCCTCTTAAAAAAGAGCTAAAAAATGCACCAGTAATCCCGACTTGCAATATAATTGTAACGTGAGGGATTGCGTTTCAGTGCAGAAACTGCGATTTTAAGCAACTGGCTGACAGCAACTGCATCTATGTGAACAAGATCATGCACGAGATAGAGTAAGTTGTGAATTGAAAAATGAGTTAACATCTAACAAACACGATTGAATGCTGTGTAGTGATTCTCTAGAATTTTGTACAATACGTGCGGGAAAGTCGAAACGCGTCATTTTGTGCACGGATACGCCTATTGTACAAAATGATACGCCTCTAGGCGAGCTCCTCATGCTCGCTACACAATCCAAGTTATGAGAGTAACTTATAGCTTGTGGAGGTGTATGCGCTAATTGTACCAAGAGTCGTGTGCTCACCATTGATTTACTCAAACGCTTTCTTTTTTTTTAGCGAGCTGACGCACATCGTCGCCGACGTGATATCGGATCCTACATTGCCGAGAACTGAAGAACATCCATGCCCAAAATGCAATCACAGGGAGGCTGTATTTTTCCAGGCGCAAACTAGGAGGGCTGAAGAGGAAATGAGACTATATTATGTGTGTACAAACCAGCATTGTTCTCACAGATGGACAGAATAACAAATACAGTCCCTGTGTGTATTTTTCCTTGTATAAGCTGTCAAGTCTGATATTGTAGGATTAGTATAAAAAAGAAAAGATGTAATGTACATATGTAATGTATAGGAATATGAGATTTGTAAATATGATAACAATAATAAAGTCTAATAAGAGGTAAAACGTTCGTGCAGTTCACAACAAATTACCGTAAGGCTCAATGCTTTGCTTGTAATCTCTACTCTCTTTTTCTTTCTCTCTCTCTTCCTCCCTCCAAGCATTTATCTCGCAATTGAGTGATTGCGATTAGCTTTACAATTCACGACTTTTACTATTCTCTCCCTCAATTACAAGTGTGCAATCGTGGCACACATTCTGTTAGCTGTTATCGCGACGTTCCGCGAGGGCGAGAAATTTTGGGGGTCATTTCGAGATACATGTTAGGAACTTTTGTCAGAGGAGTTATATCTTTGTTAGACCTATAATATTGCCAATTGTGCAACGTTCGTGCTCATCGCGAACGAATTAGCGGTGAAGTTACGTATGGAGTAACACCGGGAAACTCCCAGCTGTTTTTCCGGGCCACTTTCAGCCATACTGAATTCAATTGCTCAAGTCGGCTCGGTTGGCTCGCATATATCACGTGATCGTGTACCTCATATATCAACTATGATATATTAAGCGGTCGCAACACATTGCATACACCAGATGTGCCAACACTGCCAACATAAATTAGCATGTTCAATATACCGGTCTTATATACGTGTGTTTAATTATTATTCTGTGTGTGTAGATCATATGATACATCAAATACACATAATTAAGATATTACACAATTCAACAATAACATGATAAGATATCATTCTCTCATAATACGATGCAGAAACGAGGGATAATATATATATACTACCCACTTCGTAAAACTACGCGCTGCAGTTTCTCAATTTCTGTAAATGATGGCGACACGCGTGATATTTTCGGCAATCAGATTATTGACGCTTGGACATGCGATTTTTGCGCTTGGCATACGCGCACCGCGCATCGGTAAGTGGCCTTCTACAATTTATAAGCAATATAATACAAGCCATTAGTCAAAAGTAAATTGATCAACCACAGTCCATATGAGCTGACCCATATTCAGACACGCTTGTAACTATGTCAGCGCGCTGTTAACCAATGAAAAGCTACGAAATATGCCTTCTGATTAGTTAACAGCGCATTAACATAGTTACAAGCATGTTCTGAATATGGGTCTATGATTTTTCGAAATAATCAACTGTAGTTGGTCGATTAACTTACATCATGTAAAGCCAGCGGCACACGGTGCTTGTTTTCGTGCTGGATTGCTTGCTGGATGAAAATACTGCGTCTTGATTGATGCATTTCCGAAGATGGATGGAAATGCACCAATCAGAACGCAGTATTTTCATCCAGCAAGCAATCCAGCACGAAAACAAGCATCGTGTGCCGCTGACTTAACTAACAGTTTATTGTAGGTCTACAAGAATTATTTGATTGCAAGATCCGCAATGTCGTACACATTGACCAATTGTTAAGCCGTTCGGCAACGTCTTCTGCAAAGAGTTCAAGTTCATGATGTTTTCAATGTCCTTTAATTTTCCTTTAAGCCATCATAGGAGGTGGTATCGGCGGCGCCTCCGCCTCGCATTTCCTCACAGAGCTGTCAAATGGCAATTTGGAGATCGATCTGTATGAAGCGAAACGTATCGGTGGCCGGTTGGCGACTGTTAACATCGGCAACAGGGAACCTGAGGCTGGCGGCGCGGTTATACATCCCAAGAACATGTACATGCAGAGATTTGTCAAACTTTTAGGTAAAATGTGTACCAGCAGATCCTCGAGTACAGTTTATCCTCTAAACATTTAAATATAACGAGTGTTATCAGTAATCTTTTGTCTGTGCAGGCTTGGAGCACAATGATTCTTCCGATACGAAACATCTGTTTGGTATATGGAATGGAGACAAATTTGTATTCAAGGAGAGTAGCTATTCTGCCATAACATTGCTCCGGATATTGTACAGATATAGCTTCCAAGTATTTAAACTTAAAAGGTACTTGAGAATTAAAGAGTCATAAAATGAAATGTAACAGCTTGAAGGAAAAACAAGACTGCTCTATATTTTCTTCAATCAGGGATACAAATGATATGGTAGACAACTTTGCAAAGATATATAAACTACAAGATGCTGGCAAGTCTTTTGAGAATGTTACTGCACTAGTATCTGCCATGAACAAAGAATTTCCCAACCAAATGCAAGTGTCAATGAAAGATTATCTTCTACATATGGGTTATACAGAGAGACTGATCGATGAGGTGGCCAAAGCAACTGTTGTTGTTAATTATGGTCAAGGTACAGACATACAAAGTTTTGTTGGCTCTGTATCTCTAGCTGGAGCAGGCTATGATCTATGGTCTGTTAAAGGTGGAAACAAGAAGGTATAAGGTGTCATTGACTCGACATTATTGGTTCTAATCATTCATGAAACGTATATGAGATAATAAGATAAATTATAGGATATATATTATAATAATAAGATAAATTATAGGTACCAGAGCAGCTGATTTATAGAAATAAAAACGTAAATGTCGTGCAGAGTCGCGTCATAAAAATTCGTTATATAGCGGACAATGACGAATCAGAACAATATGAAGTGACTTATATAAATAAAGGTATAATTTTAGAGTATTAAAATCTCAACATTTGAGCGTGAATCGACATTTAAAGCTGACGCACGCTCAAAACAGAAATAATTATAATTAAGCATTATGCATATCTTATTTTATGTTTATGTAGATAGTATGGATCTGATGACGGCTAAATATGACATTGTAATTATCGCCGCCCCACTCACGAGCGATCAAGAATTCCCGATAGAATTCATCAACTTCCCCAAAAAATTAGAATTTCCAGGTCACTATCAGACGACATACGCGACTTTCCTTAAAGCAGATATCAAACCAAAATATTTTGGCTTACATGAGAGCTTGGATGATATTTTTAGTTGTGATCCTAACAAGACAATAATTAGTTCAATCGGAAAAGTTGGCTTTGCCAATGGCTCATCAATTTGGAAAATCTTCAGCAGAGAGTCATTGGAACCTGATCTTATACAAAAAATGTTCTCAAACGTAAGAGTTCTGCAATGCAGTAATTATTTAAACAAAGTAGAAATGTATCAGTTATTATCAACATCTTTCTTTTTTCATGTTAAGGTTGATGAGAAAATGACAGTTGTTTGGAAAGCATATCCTCACTATTCATCTAACACACCTCATGTTAATTTCAAGCTACATAATGCATTGTACCATGTCAATGCAATTGAATGGGCTGCAAGTGCAATGGAGATGAGTGCGATAGGTGGGAGAAATGTTGCTATTCTAGCATACAATGATTTTCTTCAGAAACATGGCCTCATGTATGAAGAAACTCTCAAGGATATTCCTATAATACTACATAATGAATTACGTTAATCATAATGCAGAAATATTTTTGAAAATATTTTTACACACACACACACACACACAATCTTAAATATTACAAATGTTTAGTAAAAAAAAAAAGGACAGTTATGTAGTTTTTTGAACAATAAAAGAAATTTATATTTATATTTGCTTGTAAAATGTACTTTAGTAAGTTCTTATGAAATATAATCATGACCAAGTTATTTCCATCCTGTAAAAAATATAAGTATAATCTACAATTTCCTAGATATGAACACCGTTGCATTTTTACACCATACTATCCTATAAATGGAACTTTTCACTTTATAAAAAATAAACGTTACACTCACGTGGAATTGTTATATCACAGTGGAAATAGAAATTTTCGTTTAGCGATAACATCGTCGACTATCTACTGTTTTTCCAACGGAGCGGCGTTATCAACGGCAATGTTATTGCGCCGGTCAATTGTGCATGTACATGATGGTTAGCGCTGATAAATATGCCGCAACGCCCGCGACGGCCTCGTCACGACGATGTGTTCGCTTACACGTGCGAGGATACGATAACTTCGCCGTTCGGTCGTCATTATGCGTGAACGTAACGAATAACAACGGACGCGCTTAATCGCCGGACTGTCTGCCCTGCCAAAAAGCGCTCGGCTCTTAACCTAACTTAACCTAACACGAGCGGAAAACACTTCCGAGGAGGAAAGAGTTCGTTCGGGGCGACAGCGGCGAGAAAGCGGCGCGAGTAAAAATGTGATTACTTCATCGGCTACACGTAATGCCACCGTAACAGCCTCGCGCTTCCGCGAGTGGAGAGGCCCCACGCGCGCGATGGATAATTATTCCGTGCGCATTAATTATCCGCAAACCGCCGGTCGTGGCGATCCGGAGGATACATCCGCGGCACACGATGCCCAGCCGAAGTCGCAGTACGTGGATCACGCTAAGCGAACGCGCGAAGACGTGATCGTCCTGACAAGCGACACTAAGGGCGGCTTGCTCAATCCCAGGGCCCTGCTCTTTCTCACCCTGTGGTATGTCTTCAGTGGATGCACCCTGTTCCTAAACAAATATATATTATCTTATATGGAGGGTAATCCTACCATCCTAGGTAAGCGACTGTTGCCTTCAAAATTTATTTGGATATATTCACGTTATGGTGCTTTAAATGAATTAGAGAGAAAAAGGAGAGAGAGAGAAAGTTATTTATAATAAAAACTAAACAAATGTATGACAGTTGTTGGAAATAAATATTTGTCTGTCTTAATACAGGTGCTTGCCAGATGTTAATGACTGCGATCTGTGGATTAATACAAATGTACTTTCCATGCGGTATGTACAAGGCGAGTCCAAGATTAATGAGACCTCCTGGATTTTACAAACACATGACACTGGTGGGGTGCACAAGATTCGCGACAGTAGTCCTAGGTTTAGTGTCGTTAAATTATGTAGCTGTAAGTTTCACAGAAACCATAAAGAGTAGCGCACCACTTTTCACCGTCCTCATCAGCAGGTATTTATTAGGTGAGACACATTTTTATACTCGGTATAAAAGTCATTGCTTAAAATTTAGTTCTATGATCTCCAGCAGTTAATTGCATAGATGTAACTGATATTAATCGGCATTGTATTTTATAGGGGAACATACAGGATTATATGTAAATTTATCTTTGATACCTGTAATGGGTGGACTAGCCCTGTGTTCCATCAATGAAATCAGTTTTGATCTCAGAGGTTTCATCGCTGCTATGGCTACAAACATGACTGAGTGTTTGCAAAATGTCTACTCGAAAATGTTGATCAGTGGTGACAACTTTAAGTACACGTGAGTAACATCTCGAGCGTATCGTTTGCATGCATGAAATGAAATCACAAACTGTGAAAGTAGAGAGACAGTGCCTCGTTATTTTCCAGACCGGCAGAGTTGCAATTTTATACCAGTTTAGCGTCAATTGTGGTACAAATACCCGTGTCGGTACTGTTGGTCGACCTACCAACGCTGGAACATTCCCTGAGCTTTAAGTTATTCGCGGCATTCCTTCTCAATGGGGTGTTCTTCCATTTTCAGAGTATCACCGCTTACGTACTTATGGACTATATCAGTCCCGTGACACACAGGTATGCATCTTTCTGCGTGTGTGCAAGTTTGAAAGCATTTCAGCTCGGTAACTCCTGAATACGATGTGTCGATATTCCAGCGTCGCGAATACTGCAAAGAGAGCTTTCCTGATATGGCTCTCCGTCTTGTTGTTTAACAACCCAGTGACGGGATTGTCAGCGCTCGGCACTTCGGCGGTGATAGCGGGCGTGTTGTTGTACAATCGGGCTCAAGAATACGACAGGATAAGCAGAACGAAGTTACGACATTCGTCGAAGATTAATCTGCAGTAGGACAATTTTTTGAGAGACCGACTAGAACATCTACGTGTATATCTTCGTGCCTTGGAAGAAAAGAAGCCGACACGCGAGATGTAGAATTTACTCTTTCGTATCATCTACCGCATATTCTTTTGTGGACGTTTTATATTCGTCGAGATTCATGAAACGGCATTAAGTACTGTCTGAAATCAAGTTTGCAACTAAACGCATGGATATTTCGGGTATCGGCTTTTCTCTTCAAGGTGCAGCATACAAACAAGAAGAGAGACGTGTCACGGCACCAAATATATTGCATATTTGCATTAGTAGTACAAACGGTAACATCCGGTTTTTATACGACAGTATTTCATCCAGCGTGAAACGGTAAAATATTAATGAAGTAAACAATTTACCAAGATAAAGTCTGACCGGTAAAAATTATCTATATTGATAAAACGTCGATTATGTTAATTGTTACTTGCGATCTCTACCCGAAGCACTTGATTCCTTCTTTCATTTCGCAGTTTGTAATAACTAAGTGGCACTTCCGAATCTAATTTACTGGCATTTAGAAACTGTATTTATTGTTTCGGGACTTTGACAGTCGCGGGAAACCGAAATGGAAAGAGATCGAGACAAGTGATTACATGTGTCAAAAAATATCTATTGCTGTACTATACAGTGTTCCTAATATGAATCCGAGAATTATGGAATGTGTAAAAATGTTTTATAAAAATAAAGTCTCTTTGTACCTATTATAGATATTTTCATTGTGTTACCCGCGCGTTGACATCGCTTATAGAGATGCGCAACAATGTGGAAGTTAGAGTCAAATTACATATTAAAAGTACATGTAAATACTCATTAGGATATATACTATTGTCCATTAAGTGGGTTATTCTTCAAAATAACTGGTGTTATATTCATTAGCAAATATCCAATGCTTGGTTAAGGTCGGCTATGAGGTCTTCTTCTGATTCGATACCGACAGATATACGAACCAAATTATCCGTAATACCTAACGCGTTTCGCATTTCTAAAGGCACGGATGCATGCGTCATGATGGATCTGTGTGAGAAGAGATTCTTTAATACGTGATAAGGAGACTCGTGAAATTCTTGATATGGAATGCCAACAGCTTGTATATACTTACGGTATTTCAATCAGTGACTCATAACCGCCTAATGACTCGGCTAAAGTGAATATTTTCAGTGCCTTCAAAAATTTCGCAGGGTCGCCTTTCAGATAAAAAGATACCATCCCACTGTGGCCGCTTGTTTGTTTAATTGCGAGTCTGTGTTGCGGGTGCGACGGGAGATCTGTAACATAAGAACGTGTCTTATCAGTGAAGCTTATGTGATAATAATGCAATCGATAATTATCAGCAGTGCAATAAACGAATAATTAGATACCTTGTTAATATTTTAAGAACTCATATCACGAGATAAAGCGAGGAATAATTTATACGTACAAGGATGGAGCACTTTCTCCACTTTAGGATGTCTCTCTAGAAATTCCGCTATGGCCAAACCGTTCTTCATATGTTTTTCCATTCTGAGCTCAAGCGTTTTTAAACCTCGATTAACCAGACTGCAGTCGTGGGGCGACGGGACAATTCCCATTGCTAAATTCAAAGAATGAATATGTAAGATACGGAATACAGTTTGGGAAAATTTGCGTTGATTTACCATTTTGCAAATATCGCATTCTCTGCCCGAGATCGTCCCTACGAGTAATCGCGGCGCCCATTATGACGTCCGAATGGCCGTTCATATATTTAGTTAAAGAATAGATAACTATGTCAACGCCCATCTCTAGTGGTCTCTATTTTAGGAGTGAAACGCATCCGTTATTATATCTATTATTGCTATTGATATATTTTTTCTTTTTTTAGAATTATCGGATCACGTACTTACTTGGAAGTAACATGTCAAAAATGTGTTATCGACAATTATTATGATGTCTGATTGGCGAGATTTTACACCATCAACAATTGCACTGATATCTGTAATTTTTAGCAGTGGATTCGTTGGCGACTCCAACCATATCATCTGTAATTCAAATAATTTGCAGTATAATAATAAAATGATATATTAATGTAAGATACAATAACAATAATCATATGTGATAACTGGAAATAAGTTAGATACATCAAGGTGCATTTACTAAAGTACTTTTGTTAAAGACATTTAAAATGTGATTAAAAAAATTTTATGTTATCTTTTTTATTTTTAGTTTAACCTTAGTATTCGGTTTCAGAGCATCAATAACATTTTTTGTTTTTGTTGTGTCTACAAATGTCACATCTATGTTACTATGCTTTATTAAGCAATTTCGGAAATAACGGTTGGTTCCACCATAAAGATCATCTCCACAGATAAGGTGATCTCCTGAATTTATTAAACTTGTCACTGCTGTTGTGGCTCCTAAACCAGAGGAATAGGCAATAGCATGTTTGCCATCTTCCAAAGCAGCCAGACATGCTTCCAATACATTGCGTGTAGGATTGCCACTTCTACCATATTCGTAACCCTAAATTGGATAAATATTATTAAATTCTTACTATAAGTTATTATAAAGATTATAAGACATATTTGCAAGTTGCAAATCAGACTTTATAAACGGAATTTATGAATATTTCCTTGTAAAAATGATTTTTAAATGTGTCTTTAGAAAATGCACAATTTGGCTCAATTTATGCATAATTCTAACTTTATTAATAATTATGGAAATGAATGTACAGTTTACTATGTGCAATTGACATTAATTGACTAAATGAAGAGAACGGTTGTGACCAATTAAGGTACGAACACGAGTGAAGTTAAAAATAAATTCTGACAAGGTCTCTCTATTTATCTAACTTACTCTATGTTGGCCAGGGGCATCCTGTTCAAAAGTAGTAGACATCACTATAGGAGGTATCACTGCCCCATGATTCCATTGCTTTGGATCTTGCCCGGCATGAATAGCTTTGGTAGAAAAGCCTGTGTACGTATCCATGTCCTATTCAATAAAAAATTACAAAATGCTGTGTAGTTTACTTTACTGTAAATAATAACTTAATGATTTCTTACACAAGTTACTGTAGAAGTGAACAAGAAAACAAGCAACATTTGGTACTGCAAATCAAATGATAATTCAAGGCACACTTATATGTAACATATATGAGAAATAAAAAGACAAATTAATCTCTATTATAAATTTGTAAAATCAATCAAGATTCATATCAGGGGATAAGATATGGATTATAAACAATTTTATTAATGACGATATAAGACATACAATAATATAATTTTTCTTAAACGGAAGCAGCCTTGACCACCATTGCGATATGAATAGAGCGTTTATTTTTTAATTCAAACTTTATTTGGATCAGGTATAAAGTTACTTCTGTCACTTTGTTCTCCGCTGCTCTTTTTTTCGCAGAGTGTTTCTATTTTCCCGCTCCCCTCGAACCGGGAGCTCATCCTTGAGTCTATGGTGCAGAAGGTGTAGTTAACGAAAGGCTCGTGCCTTTTTTTTCTTAGCAGATTGCATGATTGTGGTTTAAAGCGGCCTTGACGGATAAAAAAGTAACGAAGAAAAAAAGTTTACTAAAAGACTCACTGAAGATAATCGTTTCGACCGACGTCGACTTCGTTGGGCGGCGCTGACTCGACTGTCTCGGAGGAGATTAGCGACCGTAATTTATAAGTCCACGATGTATTAAGTGACGTTGATGGACGCTAGTAGCGCGCGACTTGCGGTAAATGGAGAGGATGCGCAAAACGGCGGTGAACATGTCAAACGCAACGCATTACGCAACAACGTTAAATCGATATATCGTAAATGGGTCACGTGTATCGACGCGATATACTATCGTGTATAATTTTTAAATATTTATATCCGCTCGTTCTATTTCTTGTTTATCTCTTCTTCGAGCAACGTGTAGCAGTAAAATTGGAAGGAAAACTAAAATCCTCCAAAACTTCTTGACTTTTTTACTCGCGGGATTAACTGCTTCTTTATTATTGCTGATTTAATGATAGTTGTTCGATATAGCGCTGATCATACAAAAACCGGATCACATACTTTTTTTCATCGCGAAGCGAACTTTACGAATCATAAATTTACGAATATTTTACGAAGTATTTTGTAGAATATCTATACAAGTGAAGAAATCGCAGGAAAGTCGCGACAATAGAATTGCGATAATATCCTCGTTAATTTCATGTCTCACTTATTTACGTCTTAATGTCTTAGTCAGCGGACCGGCGTTTTTCTACTTTATCTGCTTTATTTAATCTTATCGCTGTATTAATGCAAGCATTGATTGCAAAATACTTCGGCGTTTTACATTCTTAAGTCTCAATAAAAGCTTGGAAAACACGAGGTCTTTCTTCGGCTTAATTCTTAATCTCAAAGTTAGGAATTTAAATAAATTTAATTTTTTAAATCTTGATATACAATAATAATAGAGAAACAATTGAATAATAATTAGAAATGGATAAATATAAATGCGATCGTCTTAATTGCATCTGACGTGAAATGAATAATTTACGAGTGTGAATGTGTGTAGCAAAATGTAAAAGACGAAAAGGGAAGAAGATATAGAAAGTTACTTGTTTTGATATATTTATTTCGTTGCCTGACAATTTCGTCGGTTCAAATAATTTATCTAAAACTGTTCGCATAGTTCGAATTACTCGAATGAACAATAAATCGAAAAATTCATACAGAATTTAAAGTTGGATTCTTAAAATCGTCTAAACTTTATTCAAACTGATTAAAATTTTTCTTATTCGAAGTGCTTCTAAACTTTCAAATTTTCGATTTTTAAATTTTTTAATTGGTGCGCTGAAGTCCATCTTCAATCATGACTCTTTTATTGGTCAGTTCATATTGACAGTACAAACGTGAACCAATAGTAGATCTGTTCCTCCGAACTGTACCATTACACTTTCATTACTCTCATTAGGCCTGCTATGGAACTACGTAAAATGATAGACTATTATTAAATGAGGTTATATTAGCTGTCAGTACACATTCATTTAATCCATAATGGAAATAAAATATCAAAACAGCCAAATAATATTTAGTAATTTCATAAAAATTACTATACTACTTTATCCGTTGCCGAACGTTTTTAGCTAAAATATTAAAGCCCGTATCAAACTACGGATTGGAATTGAGTATTGGATTGAAATTTAACTAATCAGGGCTAAGTTTATTATATTTGAAATTATTTTCTTTTTTCCAATTGGTCAAATATCAATCCCAATCCATAGTCTGATACGGGCTTAAAGATAGTATAACACAATCCTCTATAACCGAAGATTCCCGATCTGTCATAGAAAAGCTATTAGGTAGTACGAATTATTATAAGCATCAACTTTCCTGTCTTATCTATTTTCTTCTCCTTGCTTACGCCTTTCTGTCTGTAAAATTACGTAGTACCACCACTGTTCGTCTTGTCTGCACTACTGAACTGGTACAACAAGTTGAACTGAGAAAACCTACGTTTGTTTAACCTACCTCAGTTTAACTTAATGCACCAGTTCAGCAGTGCAAAACGAACAGGTCTATTATCGTTTTCTAACCTAAAAATACGTCTACACGAATGACAAGTTGTTCCGGATTATTTCGAGTAAGGCGAATCTGAAATTTACTTTCTTTGCTCTGTCTACAAGATTTATAATATAATATAATATAATATAATATATATAAAATCTGTATTATATTGGATTTTGGAGATTAAAAGTTGCATATGAAAAATAGATTTCATTGAGTCGACTAATCTTGGTTCTGATTCGCTTTATATTCTTTATATATAATATGAATCCAAGAATTATTAACTGTAAAAATGTTTTATAAAAATAAAATCTTTTTGTACTTATATTAAGGATATTCTCATTATAATATTTGTGTTTTATATCACTGCAAAAATATATATGCATTAAAATACATATTACAAAGCATAAAATATTTAAAATATATATCACTTATTTAAATGAACTGGCATTAGATTCATTAACAGGCATCCAATGCTTGTTGAAGATCATCTATGAGGTCCTGTTCTGTTTCGAGGCCAACAGATACTCGAATCAAGTTCTCTGTAATACCTAACTCATACCGTGTTTTCAAAGGTACTGAAGCATGTGATGTGAAGAAACTACATGAAAAACAAAAATATTCGTCAATATATAATATTGTGAAACTTGATAAGTAATAATCAGTTGTTTCTCCTTACGGTAATTCAACCAATGATTCAGGATTGCCCAAGGATCCAGCTAAAGTGAATATTTTCAATGCCTTATAAAACTTCGCAGGGTCACCTTTTAGATAGAAAGATACCATCCCACTGTGGCCGGTTGATTGTTTAACTGCGATCTTGTGTTGCGGGTGTGATGGAAGATCTGTAACATAAGAACGTGTCTTATCAGTGAGACTTATGTGATAATAATGCAATTGATAATTATCAACGGTGCAGTAAACAAATAATTAGATATCTCATTATTATTTTAAGAACTTGTATCATGAGATAAAGCGAAAAATAATTTACACGTACAAGGATGGAGCACCTTCTCCACTTTGGGATGTGTTTCTAGAAATTTTGCTACAGCCAGACCATTCTTCATGTGCTCCTTCATTCTGAACTCTAGTGTTTTTAAGCCTCGCTTGACCAGATTGCAGTCGTGGGGCGACGGGACAATTCCCATTGCTAAATTCAAAGAATGAATATATAAGATACGGAATTTAGTTTGGAGAAATTTGCATCGATTTACCACATTGCAAGTATCGCATTCTTTTGCCGAGATCATCCCGGCGAGTAATCGCGGCGCCCATTATGACATCTGCATGACCATTCATATACTTAGTTAAAGAATAGACAACTATGTCAATCCCCATATCTAGTGGTCTCTATTTTAAGAGTGAAACACATCCGTTATTATATCTGTTATTATTGATATTAATATATATATATATATATTTTTTTTTTCTAGAATTATCGAATCACGTACTTACTTGGAAGTAACATGTCAAAAATGTGTTATCAATAACTATTATGATGTCTGACCGGCGAGATTTTACACTGTCAACAACTGCTTTGAGATCTGTGATTTTCAGCAGTGGATTTGATGGCGACTCCAACCATATCATCTGTAATTTAAACAATTTGCAGTATAATAATAAGATAATGATATATTAATGTAAGGTATAATAACAATAATCATCCCAGCAAACACAAAGTATCATCGATGTTACAATATCAGCTAAATCATATGGAAAGTTACATAACTGTTATTTTGTTATATAACGAAGCAACTGTTATGTAACATACCATATGATTTAACTGACATTGTAACATCGATGATACTTTGTGTTTACTGGAATATATGATAACTGGAAATAAGTTAGATACATAGATCAAGGTACATTTAGAGCGCTTTTGGTAAAGACATTTTAAAATGTGATTTAAAATAATTTTATGTAATCTTTTTTATTTTTAGTCTGACCTTAGTATTCGGTTTCAGAGCATCAATAACATTTTGTGTTTTTGCCGTGTCTACAAATGTAACATCTATATTGTTTTGCTGCATTAAGCAATTGCGGAAATAACGGCTGGTCCCACCATAAACATCATCCTTACAGATTAAGTGATCTCCTGAATTCATTAAACTTGTCACTGCTGTTGTGGCTCCTAAACCAGAGGAATAAGCAACAGCATATTTGCCATCTTCCAAAGCAGCTAGACATGTTTCCAATGTGTTGCGTGTAGGATTATCACTTCTACCATATGTGTAACCCTAAATTGGATAAATATTATTAGATTCTTACTATATAGTAAATAAATTCTGGCAAGACCTCTTTATTTATCTTACGGTTGGTTTGGTAGGATTATCTTGTTCAAAAGTGGTAGACATCACTATAGGAGGTATCAATGCCCCATGATTCCATTGTTTTGTATCCTGTCCAGCGTGAATAGCTTTGGTAGAAAAACCCTTGTATGTACTCATTTCACTCGATATAACGTTTGTTTTTTTATTTAAATTTTATTTCAACAATTAGTCGTTTAGTTAATTTTTCGCTGCTCTGTTCGCACTGCGTTTCTATCTTTTTGCTCTCTTCGCGCTGCGTTTCTATTTTCCCGCTCTCTTTGAGAAGGGAGATTACCCTTATTAGGTTTACGGTGAAGTTGACGAAAAGCAAAAGTCTCGTTTCGGCAAATCGCTTACTTATTATTTTAAATGACCTTGAATGATATTAAACAACAGGAAAGCAGTCTTCTCGAGAGCCTCAGCGACGGTATACAACTTTAATTGGTGCTGATGTCGCTTGATGACATCGACTGAAACGGTTCGGTTACACTGGCGATAATTTATAAGCGCACGATGTTGATGACGTTGATAAATGCAAGTAACGCGTATCTTACGATAAACGAAGAGCACAAACTTGTAACTTTCCAAGCACAGCGCACTTGTGTGACATTATATCGATAAGTTATACACGTGAATTGCGCGTGTCGACAACACGCGAGCTATCATAATTTTTAAATACTTAATAACTTAATACTTAATACTTAATACTTAATAACTTAATACTTAATAACTTTTAAATACTTTGCACTTTCGCTCGTTTCTTCGACTTTTTAATAGCGCAACATGGCCGATAAAAGGAAATATTAAGATTCTTCAATGTTTTCTACTTCTTTTTTATTCACGGCGTTATATGCTTTATTCGTTGTAATGCTGGTCGTACAAAAATGGATTACATATTTCGCTTTGACGAAGCAAATTTTGTAAAGTATTTTATAGAAAATATCAACAAACTTTTCAAAATTGCTGGTGAAATCGGCTAATAGTGTATCTTTGTCAGTTTTCTGATTTGCTTATTTGCAACGCCATAATATCTTGGTTGACTGATAACTTTTCTATCTTATCAGTCTTATTTAATCTCAATGTTTTATCGTTCAACTGATTGCAAAATACTTTAGACTTCTATATATTTTTAGTTGAAGTATAGGAAGCGTAAAGTTTCTTTTGAGCGTAATTCGTAATCTCGAGATTAGAATTTGAAAAATTTAACTTATTACATCGTGATATATAATAGAGAAAAAAGCGAATCAAGTTGCAATAATCTAAAATGATTGTAGATTTATAAACATAACTGATAAAACGAAAAGAAGTAAGATGTAGAAAACTATTTGTTTTCACGTGGAACTGATGAAAGATTCGAATAAATTATATGATCGGACTGTTCATATAATTCGAATAATTGGCAAATCGAAAGATCCGCACGACTTCAGCATTTGTTCGAATTTCAAATTAAATTGATTTCATTTTTTCTATGCGTGAAAATTTCTAAAAAAGATTTTCCAGATTGAAATGTATACTTAGACTTAAACGCAAAAAGAGCCGCTAAAACTTTCATGTTTCAACCTTTAAATTTAAATGGCCACTAAAGTCGGTCCCTTTAATAAGTATACTGCAACTATCTTATTGGCTGATTTATCTTAATCATTCTTAAGACTGCATACACTTGAGCCAATAGCAGGTCTGTTCGTTTGAACTGCATCTCTGCACTTGTTCGTTTCTCCTTGCCGTTAGTTCATGTGCACGGTTGTATGTACAGAAAGCGCTTTGCAGTTGACTCAACTAAAAGCGGTCCATGACCTCTCCTCTTTCTTCTCTCTGGCTATAACATCACAATTTTCTCGTCTATAAACAAGCCTTTGGGAAATGGTGTTGGGGGTTAGCCTGAAAGAGTCCCTGGAACCATGGATATAGCAATAACGGGACGGAGCAGTAACCCGAACTGTAGGTAAATAGAGTGAAACTGTTGCGCGGTGGGGGGACTATAGTCACGTGGTACATTTGGTGCCGCACAGATGATTGGCTATAAAATACTTATAAAGCAATGATTGGTTATAAATCATAAATGCGCGAAATGTACAAGTAAAAAATATTGTGTTTACAATTGTATATATATGGTAAGATATTTGGAGTAAAATGTTTTATTTTTAAATCAATATACACTAAAATATTAATAGTGTTATATAAATATATGTCATTAGATGTCATTAGATCAAAGATGTCAGAAATAAATGGTAAGAGGTTATGTATAAATTTGAAAACTATAGAATATTTTTAAATGTATTTAATTTTGCAGGTATACAATGAATGTAATAAGTTTTGTAATAATACTATTTGAAAAAATTTGAAAATAAATAAACTACTACTATGTAGAAATAACTGGAAGAATACTTTTATTTCCTTGCATGTAAAAATTGTGATTTAATTAGTTTTATAAATGCATATAATTTGCCAAAGGAAATATATGTTCACAGTTTTAATATCAAATAATCAAAACTTTCTCATAAAAGCTTAACTCAGAATATCACTAATTTATTATATTGCTAATTCATATTAACCCACATAAAATATAATGCATATAATAAATGTGTTATATAACAGTTACATAGGTAAGTAGAAAATTACAAATAATATGTTACATGTTACATTATGTTTAATGGGAATTATATAATTATACATATACCTGTTTCATTAAGAGATTGCGGTATTCATCATAAATAATTTTCATAACACAATATTGTTTTATCAATTTTATTTGTATAAAGTAACATATAAATCTAACTACATAATCTTGCTAGCTATATATAATATATAAACCAAAGAAAAAATTGCTTTATAAAAATACTGACGCTGTCAGTAACCTGTTAATAAAAAAAAATACCTTATAATAACAGCATTATAAATCAAGTATACCAATTATAAGTAACACTTCTTAATATTATATCCAGATAACCAAATATGCAAAAGTAGATTTTGCACAGTATCTGTGGCAAATTATGCTAGCACCTTGTTGATAGAAATATTACAGAATCTGATACCAGAATATGATGACAGAATGACAGCAGATATCAAGCAGACTCGATCGTTCAAAATTTTTATATGAAAATACTACAGATACTACATGCATTTTACCACCAATCTGCTATCAGAATCTGTCAGCAGACTCTATCGACGGACAGTATAACAGCAGATTTGGAATATAAATATCTATCTGTTGACAGATTTTTGTCTTGAATTTGCCGTTAATTCATTGTCAAACTGTTAATAGACTGTTTACTAGATACTTGATATATTATATACTACCTAATAATACATTTGGTTTAAGTTTTCTTAATTCATTTAAAATATTAAACGCATCTTTATTCAAATGTGCTGAATATACTCTTGCTCCAACTGGGACTAACTCAGCAGTTAGTTTCAGTATATCGCATCACAGTTCTTTTCTTTTTTCACTTTTTGGAAATCTATAAAATAATTACTTACATGTGTTACTTTGTTATATTATTAATGTTTCATATTAATAACAGAATATAGTTATTGTATAAGTAAATAGAATATGTTCTTTCTTACCGGTAATATGATATATCGTAATTTGTTTGTTTTTATTTGTCCTAATACTGAACGACACAGAGTGCGATTCTTGCACTGTTTCACAACGCACAGCGGTATTATTAATTCACAGAATTTGTTTCTGCTATTTTATTTCTTTATACTGGGCACTCTAACCTTCAAAGACTACAACCAATCACCATGGTGGCACCAAAAATACCACGTGACTATAATCTCCCCGCCTCACAGCGGCTTCACCCTTCGCAGGTATCATTCCATCCCCTTATTCCTATATCCATGCCTGGAACCAATACTGAGAGAGAGAGAGAAAGAGAGAGAGAGAGAGAAAGAGAGAAAGAGAAAGAGAAATCGAATCGATATTTGCTCGATTATTCATTCGCCTATCAGGTCGGGATCGCCTTCGCGTTCGTCAAATAATCTCGATAACACAATGGTATGTATCCGGGCGTCAATGGTGAAGTGTGTGTAACGAAAGTTCAAAACCCATAAATCGGGAGTAACAGTATTGAACGAGAGGAAAGTGAGGCGAAAACGGCGCATCTGTATATTTTCTGATAGCTGGCTGGTTCGTTCCCTCTGGAGAGATAGGAGATATCTGTGAAGAAAGTAATAAAAAGAAGAAGAAAGATTGAGTGAGAATGTTACAGCTTCGAGCAACTCCAAGGATGAGAGGCAACACGAGAGTCATTACTTCGTTGCTAGTGTCGTTGATCGTGGAATTGACTCGCGGGGATATGTCTTATAATATAGTCAATCGTGAAGATCCCTGCATCAGCTTGTGTGAGAAGACATCCGCTACTTTTGCCAATGTATGCTTCTCCCACAACTCTGAATATTACATTATACACTGTAAAACTTATCAAACATAATTTTATATTATCTTACATTGTATTTCAATTTGGTTGTGCTTCGTCTTATTCTAATTTGATATTTTTGTATTTCATATATACAATTTTGATCAATTTGTTTAGAGCATATATGTGAAATCCTGTTGCCAACGAGGTTGCAGATTCTTCAATCTGGTTGACTTGCGTTATGGACTGGAGCCAAACAGTTTGAATGGCACTAGGGATGCTTGCGAGGCTTGTATGTTTACTTAAAAGCATTAAGCAAATTTCCTCAAGTATCTCTATATTCCTCATATAAAATCTCTCCTTTGTTACCTGCTGCTTGTTTTCATATACCTATGCTATATGTTATAATTTTCTACAATGACTTTGTACTACTTGTAGCATGTACAGAAGCTTATACAGAAGTACAGGATCGTTATGCTTGTGACACTGGTTGTGATTCCATGGCCAAGCAACGAATATCGGACTTGTTAGCTTTGTTTTCCATTGCTATATGTATGAAAGATGGCATAGACTCTAATGTTCTACTGTCGCCTGATATCCCGGAGAATGATATATTGACCGATCCTGGATTGCGCAAAGAGTTGCTACCTAGATGGTGGGATTCTGATGGTTTCAAGTTGCCACAAACATATGTTAAGACTGTACCGATGGATGTTGCGGTAAGGATAACATTTCCTTTAATTACTTGTTAATGGTAAAACAATATATAACATGTTTCTGATAAAAATGTAACATTGAAGTGTATATCATAAATATGTATTGTAATTGACTCGATGAAACTGTAGACTGTGGACTATGCTTTATCTTCCGACTACTCTGGCGAAGTCGAGCAAGCAATGCCTGTGCCTGCATCCGACTGGTTTCATTGTGCCTCAAAGCACATTGGAACCTCTTACCGGTACATGGCTTTCGTTGTATTGAGTTTCATTGTCGTCATGATGCTGGTAATATGGTTGTACACGCTAATAAACTTTATGTATCGGAGAGACATGTTGATAAGCAATTCTATTTTACCGATGGTCACGTTGCATGTACCGCTGCACACGTTATACAAGAAGGAGATGTCACCGCATATTTCATCTGATGACTGTGAGTCTAACTGAAATGGAACTATATTTCGATATTCGATGTCACGAAGTCACGACGTTGCGCTAGAGATTCAACGAAACGCGATTGTGCGTCGCATTTCCGAAACTTTAGCAACGTGCAACAGTACAATGATTCATGTATATGTATATATACATAACATATTACTGTGAATGTTATTTAAGTTTATACATAATAATTACACACTGTGAAAAATTGCATTGCATTTTACAGTAATGCCATAGGGGAATCAAATTGTTCCTTTTTTGTTTCGTCCTTTTCACAAGGAGTAGTTGACGCTAACTTATTTAACACGTACGATCATCGATATATGAATATAAAGTTAACGTATAAACTTATGTTATATGTTAATGTAATATACACATTACACTAACATACAACATGAAGTGATAAATATATAAGAGGGCAAGAAAAGCTTACTCAGCAATACAAAGTTTCCAAAAGCAAAAACTGAGATGTTTTCAAATATCGAGCTTTTAGAGGAATTTATGTTGATAATTATACTTCAGACTGATCTATATTATAATTTTCTAAGTGTGTATATATATATATCGAAGAAGAGGTATGACTTTTAATATCGAAACGCGATTACGAAACCTTTTCGTCTCTTTTACGATGTCTATGAGAGCATAATCCGTAATCACGTGTATTTAAACATACGACTGATGCAATTACCGTACAACGAAAGTTCAAACTCATAACGGAAATAGACGCAAAACTTTTTCGACGACAATATAGATACATAATCAAAATGTCCCATTCGGTTTTATTGTTTCCATCGTTTCTGATGAACCACCTATAAAAGTCGAAAAGACGATAGCACAACATACAAAGATTGCGGAGATAATTAAAGGATTTATACACACGTCGTGATATACTAGTCAAATTTCAAATCTGTCTATGTGAGAGAGAGTGTTATGAAAAAAAAAAAAGAAAAATTTATATTATATGAATATTCGTACGCGCGTACGCACATGTTAGTCTTTGCCTCGCGAAGAAGCGTTTACAAAATTCTCGCGAGAGGTTTCCAAATTCTCTGTTTGACTTTTGCTCGATTGAGAGGTAATTAGCGAATAGGTAATATTACATTCGCGGTTTCTTCGACTCCTCGAAGTATTATTTTGCCGCTTGAAATTCACCTAGCGAAATTCAGCGAACCTGCATCTCTCGTAATTATAAACGTTATATACGAGAATCACGGTATAGCTACCTTTCTCTCTCTCTCTCTCTCTCTCTCTCGCGGAAATTGCGACATATACAGAATATATATAATTACATTGAATATATATATATATTATATATACACGCATTTCGAATCTTTTCGGGACTTTTATAAAACGTCGTATCGTATCTTAGTTAGAACTTGTTTATAATGTATAAAACGATATATTATCAGGTACACACACATATATATATATATATATTTATATATATAAATGTGTCGATCAAATGCAATAAAAACCAATGAGAATCTCAAGCACAGGTGCTAGCGAGTCATACAAAGAAAATCCGAAATTTAACATTCACATGCGTATACCAAACACTTCAGACAAATTTCGGATTTCGTTGTTGACGTAGATGCTCCGACACTCGCGATTCTAACTCTCATTGAGCCTCTTGACATTTGATTAATGCTGTATTTAAGCTCCGTCATCTTTATTATTTACGTATACATATATAATGCGTACGTCGATAATGCACTTTTGCATTTTTAACGACGAGCGCGATATGCGATCTCTATCCCAAGAAATACACGTGTTATTTAATGAAATTCAGTGCAATATCATAGCGCAGTACAGCCCGATGCGTACGCGCATATATTGTTATATATTATTGTGATATTTATTATAACAGCGTCATGTTATATTCGTCTCATCGCGCAGCTCTATTTATACGGTTTGTGTTTCTGTATATTCATCCCCGTACGGAACTACGACAATTAAGTTAGTTACGTATCTGACTGTTTCATGTGGAATTGTCGACAGTTGTGTGCAAAAATGATATGTTGTGAGATTTTCGCGCTGCAGCTTAGCTTCGTAGTACCGCGATCTCGCAGTCTTGAAAATTTTTCGAACTAAATCTTGTGGAATTTACATGTGATCTAGGAAGTGTAATGTATGTGTCGTACAAAAGTAAACGTTCAAGTTCCTGTTCTCGCAAGACTTATATATATTCTCAAATGTTACCGTTACCGGTACCGAGACATGCCAGTATCCCTGTAAGCGTAGGACAAAATAAGACTATATGTATCTCTCCCTCCGACTTGCAATCCGTTGAAAGTAATCAGCACTGTAGTGGTACGTGTCTCTGTATATATCTTCAGAAAGATCTACATTTAAGAGAACGCTCTTATTAAAGCGCAATTAATGCTATTATTAAAACATATTTATAAATATCAAAATATTTATTGCATAGAAAAGTACATTGTAAAACCAAAGTACCATGTTCCTCGATATATCTCATAATTATGTCCTACAGATAAATGTGTGTTACCTCTGTATGTAAAACTGAATAATAAAATTCAAGTTTGTTATAATACAAAGGTGTGTAAATAATCCATCTCAAATAACTGCTTTTACCTTCTTTTAATGTACATTTTTTTCATTTTCTTTTTGTTTCCTTTCGAACAGTCTAGAATTCTCAATATAGACCTAGATTAACAAGTAACAATTCTGATGAAAAATATCTGCATTTTCTTAGAAAATACGGCACGCGTTTGAACGTGACGGAATGTATACACATCGATTACGCAGGGATCAGGATTACGTGTATACTTCGAATAGCATTAACATCTGCAGCATGTTTGAACTTTCCGCGACTATTTGAAAACGTAACGCCACTTGGATGTAGGGCTTTCTGTATCAATGTAAGTACTTTGAGGCATATGAGTTTGTCGTATCGTAATGTTATAATATGAGTTTGTCGTATCGTAATGTAATATAGCGTAACAAGCATTGCGTTATAAAATTACATAAGTTTATAATGCAATCTACTTAGCGTAAAACGCACTTAAATCTCTCACGAGTACTTCGAGGTACGACAGCGTCTAAATGACATTGAAATATTATGTGACGCATGTATGCGTAAGAATATTTATACATACATGTCTCTGTTTATATTTATGTATACAGACGCTGTGTTACGCGACGAAGTACCTACAAAAGGTACAAGAGAACATGCTGCAAATAATATTGTTATTATTCCAATTTATTCCTAGATATATCGCGTTCCGTCCCTGTATGTGTATACTTCCGTTCGCAGGTCGATCGTATTTCGTGCAAGAGACGATAGCTGAAATGATATAAAAATAAATCATATCTTGTATTTACATGGATCAAATGGCTCCAGTCGGAAAACCAGATAAAGTCACAATCTTAATCAATATGAAGGCTCACAATTTGTACACAATACAAATTGCATAACTGGGGAACAACACCGTGAAAAAGTCGGCGTTTTTGATCACTTGCACGATGTCGTCCTTGTATTATAACCAATACAGCTTAGGGTCGTCTCTGCGCACTTGAAGTTTCAGGACGTGTCGGTAAATCTTCAATGCAGGTCCCAGCAGTAAGTCAAGTCCAGTCAGCACATCCGAACGTTTCAACAAGAGAAGTGAGTGACCGTCAATCTCCTGGAACATACAGGAATAAGTGTGTTAGTTCATTTTTCTTCGAATCTCAAAGTGATCATGTGAAACTCATTCGTTTGATACAAACAGGACACTCACTTGATGTCTAAATACCTCGGCCTCTTTAGGGAATAGCCTCGCAAAGTATTGGTACACTTGCTCAGAGGTCCAGTCTGAAGCATCCGGAATGTTCGGATCGATTTTGTCTCTCGGTGTGTCGTCCTCCATTTGATCGGAGCCCCTGGCGGGTGAGACTTGCGGACTAAGGACCGGTGGCAAGACAGGCGTGTTGGACGGCGTGTTCGGTCTACTCGTATTGACCGAATTCATGTTTTGACTAACGACGTTCGCCTTGTACTGTTTCTGCAAACAGTCGTTGCAGTACCACTTGGAACTTGACTTCGGTGTTGTGACACGCGGTGTGTGGCAGTAGTAGTGATAGGCTTCGTCACAGCTGAAGCAAGTTACTAGGGGACCCTGGAGGAAGAGAACAAGTAAAAATCGGGAGAACAAAAGAGAGAGAGCAAGGTGACGATTAATCGACAAATGAAAATAGCCCAGGAGGAGCAGGAAAAACGTAAGCAAATTGATTAACCATAGTTGATCATTCTTCTTCTAGTTCGAGAAGAATCGATTGCGATCGGTCAATTTCCTTACTTACTGCTTACGTTCTACTGCGTGTTCGTGGTTCTATGCTATACATGCAAAGTATCATTTTGAAAGTCCACGTGTCATTCGCTAATTTTATATTGCAACTGTTGATTATTCAAATAGGCGGCAACGAGCAAGCCGTGACCAAGCAAGTTGTGACACTTCGAGTGACATCTCGTTTGCGTCAGAAAGGAGGGTATCCGTTACATATAAGCAACAGAAAAGTGATATGATTCAATCTCCAAGGTAGGTCAACAGTTTTATGTTAAGAAAATGAGCTACTTGTGTCAGATTGAGTTGTATGATTTTGTTGTAACAGATGGATACATCCTCTTGTTGAAGCAAACAATGCGTCTCAGTTACAATTGGATGCACCATTATAGCCTTCCGAATAATCAATAATCACAGATATCGATCAATAGCTACGTATGTATGAATCTTAGCATACGAATGGAGAACAATCTCAACCGTAAACTTACAGCATCGGAAGTTTCGCAACATACTGTACAACTTTTGCAGCGCTCACATTGCCAGTTACTGTTAGCTTTTTGAAGCATTTCCTCCGGACTATAAATGCAACTCGGATGCGCTGTAAATATATGTAATAAGTATGCAGATATTTTGATTACAAAAAAAATCGAGCGAAACAATGGATTGAAGAATTACCTCGTACTGTACAATCTCGACAAGCCACCAATGCTTCTGGTTTCTCTTTGGCACAAAGACTACACTGTCTGCATGGCCCATCCTTGATGAGTACCTTGCTAACATCCTGAGAGTCTTGCGTTAATGTGTTTTTATTGTGACTACCTGGTTGCCTGCCACGTTTACGTTTCACTAGATTGTTGTCTGAGGGGTCAAAGACCTTCTTTGCTCTCTAAAAGATAAAAGCAGGTATACCGTTAGGAAACTTAGACTTCTTTTCTACATCTTTTAACTGTGTGAACACTATAGGTCCCAATAAAAATCTCTATCATATTTACATACATCAATAGGCAGAACACTGATGAACCATTATGCAAAACTATCATATGTGAAAAACACCCAAAGGCGCTATGGAGCGACAGGATAGCACACAGGTCTACACTACCTTTCTACGCGCACTGCGAAAACCACTGGCGTTGACGTTGGACGGCGTCGGCGACGTGTTGGTTGAGCTTCTGCCGGCCTCCTCGTCCTCACGGTCATCGCTCGATCGTCGATCCGTCTCGTCCCGCTTCTCCTTTAACGCTTCCAATTCATCCTTATTGTCCCTGGGATCATCTTCGAACTTCATATCCATCGGATCCTCCGTTCTCGCGAACAGACGCTGCTTTCGCTCAGCTTTGGTGGGCCTTTTGAGGTTAGGTGTCGTTTGGACAACATCGTTGCACTTGGGTGACTCTTCGACCACGGGCGCTGCTGGGACGGTTGCCTCCACCAGCGAAGCGTGTGACTCCTGATTGTCGTCGCACTCCATCACCTCCTGCTGCTGCTGCTGCGGTGGCGGCGGCGGCGGCGGCGGCGACGACACGCTACTGCTCACATTGTTACTCTTGTCAACAAGTATCTCCGAGTAATCGTCCGACTCCTTCTTCGGGTCCGACTGCTGATCCATCTTCGGGCTAGTTTGCCGCGACAATCTTGGTGTATTCGACCTCGAGTCGGTAGTCGTGAGATTGTCGGTCTCGTCAAACTCATAAAGTTCCGCCGCGGCGGCGGCGAGCGTCTTCGCCACCGCAGCAGCTGTCAATGTCTTCGCTGCGGTCGGCGGCACGACCGACAGCGTGGCGGTGGCGGCGGTGCTGGCGGCGGTGGTTGTCGTCGTCGTCGTCGTCGTGGTCGTGGCACTCGTAGCCGTAGCTGCGAGCGTCGCCGCCGCCATCATCGCCTTTTTCCTCCGTCTCACAGCCGCGCCACTGCCGTTGCTGCTCCTGCTGCTACTCCTGCTGCTGCTGCGACTGCTGGCGGTCTTGCTGGCGGCGGAACCCTTGCCGACGCGTCGCGCCGAGTTGCCGTTCTGCTGGGAGCCGCGGGACGCGCTGGCGGGGGTGGTGGTGGTGGCCGACGACGTCGCAGAGTCGCGTCGCGGCGCGTCCGGCGCCGCGGGCGTCGACACGTCGGACGTCGCCACCAGCGTGTAATTGCCGTTGGACAGGCGCGTGATGTTGCCGCATGCGACCTCCTTGTTGAGAAACTCCTCGACCATGCGTCGGGATGTCGGGCTTGAGACGCCGTCGAGCAGCTGCTCGATCAGCCGGCAAGCGGGCACGCCCTGGTCCAGATAGTCCGGCTCGCCGACGACGAGTTCGGACACCGCGGTCGATATCATGCTAGAGTTCAGCTTCTCCTTGATGAAACCCTCCGGCCGGTTCTTGTACAGCTGCAACCGGGACCACTTGGACGCGTTGCGGTAGCTCGTGTGACCCTTGTAATCCACCTGGATCACCTTCTCGACCTCGATCAGCCGGTGCAGATCAGCGATCGTGTCCCGCGCGTCCACGGAGTACTTCCGCAGTAGGAAGTTGCAGATGCGGTCAGCATCAGGACGCGCTTTACGCTTACGCAGCTGATCGATCGCTTCGAGTATCTGGTGCTCGAGGGCTATCCGCGCTTCCACCAGGTTGGGATGCATCCTGGCTTGTCTCGTGGCTCCGTTCGACGATCACCGGCGGGACGACAGGGGGAAACGAGGGGGAGGAGAGCAAGGGGACGCGACGTTGCCTCGTGACCGAGAGCGCTAAGCGTTCATTGAGCGAGTATAACCCGCGCCACTCTCTCGGTCCCGCTGATGATCAGCACGACGCAACCACGGAGACCGATGACGGCAGACGACGACACCGGGGATAGCTACGTCCACCGAGATCTCTTCGCACCTTGAAAAAAAAAAAAACGCTCGAGTTGTCGCTTTAGAACGCGCGTTGCACCGTGTCCGCACGATCCGCGCCGCGCCGCGCATACCGCCGGCCAGCCCGCACACGATCTTCCCTCTCCGTCTCGTCCGCGCGTCCCGACGCGCTCTCGTGCGCGCGCTCGATCGGTCCCTCGTGCGGGCGGCCGGTCCGCTCCGGGTCTCGTGCACCACAGCACACACTCTCTCGGCACTGCCGATACCAAATTTAAATCCTACGTCGCGGTGCTGTCCGTCTCCCTCTCTTTCTCTCTCTCTCTCTCTCTCCTCTCTCGCTCTCTCTCTCTCTCTTTTTCCGCAGGACGACGCGTCGCGATTATTTTCAATATCGGCCCGAGAGCGTGCCGTCGATATATAGCGCGGAGAGGCGCGCTCGCGCCTCTCATACGACGTATGTACACATACGTCGGCCCGTTCGTCCGTCCGACGTCGATGACGTCGATCGTTTCCTCTCTCGCTGCGGCGGCGGGATCGCGGCCGAAGGATCCGCTCGTCTTTGTCGCTCTCCGGCGCTCTCGCGCGCTATCGCCGCCCGCCCGCGTACTTATGTGCGCGCTACGCGCGCGATAAATCCTTCGAGGCGGCGAGAGCGCGACGACGCGCGTCCACGTAACGCGAACAATGAGCGCGAGCGAGAGAAGGAAAAACGGCACGAGAGAGCGACAGACGGACCACGGACGGAAGGAAAGAACGAACGAACGAGAGAGAGAGAGAGAAACAGACAGAGACGGAAGGAGAGAGGGAGGTGGTGAGTCGGCGGACGCGATGCACGGGGCGGCGAATGATCGAAGATCGCGCGACGAGTCGATTCGCGTGAGTTGTGGCGCGCCCGAGAAACGCGCCAAATATCTCTCTCTCTCTCTCAGCGTGTCGCGTCGCCCCCTCCTTTAATTAGACGCGACGAGGATCGCTATCGTCGGCCGCGACGGTTGACGGCGAACAATGACGTGACTTCGCGTATCTGTCGGCGAACGGCACGCTTCCGAGAAAACTTTTTGAATCGAAGCCGCGCGCTCTTATCGCCTCGCGCAAATTGCACTCTCCGGCGTGGACGGAGCGAGCGAGCGAGAGAAAGAGAGAGAGAGAGAACGGAGAGAAACGGGAAAAGAGATGGGGAGGAAGAAGAGAAAGAAAGAGAGAGAGAGAGAGAGAGAGAGAGAGAGAGAGAGAGAGAGAGAGAGAGAAGAGAAAGAGAACGTTCGAGAAAGAGGGAGAAAGGAAAAGAGATATATACGACGTACAGGCGCGCGCGTGATAATCTCTCTCGCCGGCGCGGCGCGGCGCGCCGCGGATCGAACATCGGGAACTGCGGTACGACGCGCTTCACACCCTCGGCGCGAACAAACGCTGGCTGGCTGGCTGGTGGGCCGACTAACTGCGAGAAGCAAACTCGCGAAATTCCCGGCGCGTCGAGACGTCGCGCGGGTTATAACTGCGTGCCGATTGGCCGGTTGCCGGCCAATCGCGCCTGTCCGGCTCGACGTCCAGCCGGTGATGAGGACGATCGGGCGATTTTCGCGCCCGTAAACAACGTCGTCGCGGCTCGCATCGCCGCTGGATCCGGTGCGTGAGCACCGCGCCACGACAAATCGCGCCGGGCATGTACGCTCGGGAAATCAGTTTTTCCGCGCAGCCAGAGACACACTCGGCAGACGCGTCTCCGAGCCGCTGTTGCCTGCGCGCGGCTGCGTGTGTGTGTCTGTGTGTACGCTCGCTTGCTTGCTTACCTGCGTGCCGATGGCGCGTAATAAGCGCGCACCGTTGTCGTGAGGAGCACCGTTGTGCGTGCGTGCGTGCGTGCGTGCGTGCGTGCGGACGCGCGCGACGCGTCGCGTCTTGTCTGTCGTCGCGTAGCGCGCAACGCGGATTTCCCGGCCAAAAGTCCGCCACGCGAGAACGGCCGCTGAACGAGAGAGAGAGCGCGGATGCAACTTCCGAAATGTCACGGCGCGAGATCGAGAGATGCGGCGCGCGGACCGACGCGGACCAGCTAAGCGACGAACGAGCAAGCGGGCGAACGCGAGTGGTCGAACGACAGACGGACAGATAGACAGACAGACGGACGCGAGCGTACGAACATTGCACGGCCGCGGCAACTGTGCGAATAAACGCACCGAGACGGCGGTAGTGACGGAGCACGCTTACAGCGCGTCTCCGCTAAACGCGCCCGTCTGCGCAGGCGTCGCCAGTATCCGTGTGGCCCGGTCGCGCGTATTCGGCAGCCTTTACGCGCGCGTATGTGTGTTTTATATATTGCTGTGTACGTGTATGCGAGTATACGCTATACGTACCACGCGGCATACGTCGCCGGCGCGGCCTCTCAGCTGCTCGCGAGACTCTCTCGTTGATCTCGGCGAACGCGCGCTCATGTGAGGCACCAGCGCGCCGCCGAGCGCTGCGAGCCGCGGGTTTATTGTCATCACGGCGACGTCGTCGATATCCGCTGATATCGCCGTGACAATGGCATACCATCGCGCCGCTGCCAGATCTCTTATGACCCTCGTCGCGTGTATCGATAAGCGGGCGTCGATCGTGTCGTCGGTCGCGCCGCGCCGCATGGAGCTCTGGCGCGATTATCTCCGTTGGCCGCTGCGATGAGCGAGCAGCGACGAGAGAGCGCGCGGGATCGTCGGCTAGGGAAGGAGAAAGCGCGTCGCAAGGGCGACGCAGCGGGTCCGCTTCAGGTAGCTGATGCGTCCTCGATGCACGAACGGTCTCACGGCGGGCGAGTCGACGGAGCGCGCCTATGTCCTTGTTATCGGCTTTTGCGCGCCACGTTGTCGCGATTGTCTTCGCCGAGACGACGGTGATACATGTCGTCACCGACTTTTGCGCGGCTCGCCGAGTCTCGGGCAGCGGTATCATCGCCGCGGGACGCGTGTCACGCGACGCTCTTCTCCTCGGCGACGGTGTCCCGTCGCGCGCGCCAACAACTCGTCGTGTCGCGACGCGACGCGCCACGCCGCGCGAGCGTCGCGTCGCGTCGCGTCGCGTCGCGCCAGCCAGTCGACAGAAACAACGCACACCTAACCGAAAAGATTCAATGTCCATACCTGATAACGTCGAGCAGCACGTCGTACAGCGTTGTCGTCGAGTCCGTTGATCGCCCTGGAATCGTTTACGCGTGGTCCGGTGTGAGCGCGTCGTCGACAGCACGGCGAATTTCGATAAAAACGAAGAGCGCAACGCCGGGTGCGGCCGAACGTGAGTATGGACGGACCGCCGCTTCAAGCACGCAACGCGCCGAGCATAGTTTTTGCGGCAAGCGGCAGGGGCGCAGGAGCGGACACCGAGATATCGGCGCCTGAGGAGGTGAGCTGCGCGTGTTGCACTTTTTGAACTTTCTCATTGGCTGCGTTCAGTAGAACAAAATGATCAGTGAGCGCTTAATGATTATTGTCTGTGATTGGAGCATTCTTTTAGATTCTTCATAGACCCAGAAGTATTTACCAATAAGGAGCGAGAATCACTAAGCGCTCATTGATCACTTTGTTCTGCTGAACGCAGCCATTGGCTGCGTTCAGAAAACACAACGGTTACACAACGGTTGAGTAATTCGTCAACGTTATTGGTCTGAATGTAAGGATCTAACAGTAAGAACCAATAGTTACTAAGCGCTCAGTGAGCGCTTTGTTTTCTAAACGTAACCATTGGCTGCGTTCAGCAGAACAAAATGATCAGTGAGCGCTTAGTGATTATTGTCTGTGACTGGAGCATTCTTTTAGATTCTTCATAGACCCAGAAGTATTTGCCAATCAGGAGCGAGAATCACTAAGCGCTCACTGATCATTTCGTTCTTCTGAACGCAGCCATTGTCTTTTTATTTCGTTCACGCACTCTCTCTCTCTCTCTCTCTCTCTCTCTCTTTCTCTCTTCTTCTTCCTCTTCCTCTCTCTCTCTCTCTCTCTCTCTCTTTGTCTTATAAGAATTGTCGAGGTACAGCCGTTTCGCTTTAAACGAGTAGAGAGTGTGACTTGATGTAGCTATATACAAAAACTATTTTTTTCCGACCGCTGCAGCATTGAAAGTTGAGGTCTTTTTCCATTCAACGCTAGGTTATATGATAAAGCGCATATCAAACCATCAAGTGTGAAGATCGTCTCGGCTACCGACTTTTGATAGACCAATCACAGTGAAACGTCGACTGATTATTTTTAAGTAAAATTGGTTCGATTTAGATTCATTTGTTTCATGAAATTGGTACTTAGGCTCGAGTAAAAATTTAAAACAAAACTCTAATATTTTAGATTTTCGCAGTGTAGAGGAATATTTGACTTAATTTTCGGATTGGGAAAACGCGTCTATCTCTTAGATTCATTTTCGACGTTTCGTTATTTATAATATTAATTAATTAATATTTCTAATATTATATTAGTTAATATTTCAATTTACTTCTTTAGGGGGAAAAACGACTTGAAACTTGAAACGAAATTATTAGTGTTTTCGAACGAAATGATTTGAAATACTACTAAATTTAAAAATAATTGAATCGCGCTTCCATGATCAACCGACAATATGTGTATCGAGATATATGTATGCGAATTAAAATCAAATTTATGACAATTAAAATTGTTCTTTACGCAATATATGCGAAAATTTCAAACAAAAAACGTTGAAAACTATTCGAGCGTACTATCGTAGACCAATCACGTAGCTTAAAGATCTTGCTTTTCACCGCTGCACTTTTTGCATAAAGTGTAGATAAATAATCAAGTTTATTATTATTATTATTACTACTTCGCGCCCTAACCTAACCTATCAAGTAAATGTGCTCGAGAAAGCTAGTATTTACTTACTGGTATAATATACATACATATTTTTAATTATTAACTTCTTTCATTTTCCAATTTCTTTTTTAGTGTCGATGTTTTTATTTCCTGCTAGGATATAATAATTGTGCACAAAACAGACAATGGCGGAGAATAAATGCATAATAACTCAAATGCCACATCATGTGCAACAAAAACTGTGTCAATCCCGACCGCCTTATAGGCAAGGAAAAAGGTTGACAGCTATCAAGGTAGCGTTGGGGACTTGTATCCTACTATAGAATTGAATCTTATTCTCTTATATTACAATTAATCTTATTTTATAATATTTATTTAGGTAATATACCAACACTTTAACACTTCTAATATTGCAATAATATAATTGCAATAATTGTATAGTCCTTAAGTTTTATAAGTTAATATTTTAAGTTTGGACAATCCCACACAAGCCATATTACATGGTTTCTCATAAACCATTTCCTTGACGTACTAGCTCTATGTAACAGGTTTACACAATTAATGATGAATCACAGCATTTGCTAATATGTGGAGTACCAAAAATAAAATTAGACGAAGAAGTAAAGAAACTTGTTTGTCCATATGGTGATGTGAAAGCGATCCAGTTGGTGACTGAATATCCATCAGGAGAATTTACAGAAACATATCATGTGCATTATGCACGTATCCAAAGCGCGAGGTAATATATATTTCTGTTGTAGAAAAATAGTTGTTACTTTAATTAAAATGGTACTTAAAAGACAGAAAATTATTATTGACTCTAATTAAATCATCTTTTATACAGAATAGCAAAACGATTTATTGACAATAAAAACTTCTTTGGGGGACTTCTACATGTTTTTTATGTCCCTGAATTAGAAACTTTATCAGAAACAAAAGCAAAGCTTATCCAACGTCGTAGAGATGTAGCAACACGGATAAAACGAAATCAGGAAGATTTGACAAATCCGGAAGTTGATAAATTTGTCCCATCGTACGTTTACTCATTACCATTATTGTTAACTGTAAACTAAGTATACTAGTTGATGCATATATAGTAAATAAGTGAATCATATGTTAATATGATATGTTAATTTCATACTAAAATTCTAATCACAGAAACCAGTATCATAGGAGAAAGAAAACGCCCGCTTTGCCACTTACTGAGGAACGAGTTAAACATTGTTATCCTGGGGAAACGCTTTCCTCTATTTGTAACGGAATACCTCAGAATATAGATTCACGATCTGTATCTAAGCCCAGTGTGCCCATAGAGTGGAACAATGCTGCATCTGCATCAGGTTTGTTATCAGCACCGTATCAACCGACCGAGGCGGTTATACAAGCAGGAAGTTCGCAGTCGAATGGAAATCTAAAGTCAAATGTGCGCAAGAGGAATTACAAAGGACAACGTGTCAGCGATAATATGAAAGTTAAAATCACCCGGCCACAGCTTATAGACACCAGAAATATAGCAAAATTAAGCTCTGCTGAAAAAACCAATGTGTTTTGCAATGTGAAGAAAGTAAACAGTGGAATTACAGTCAAGTTACTGGAAAAGTCTGATGAGACGAAGAAAATAGTTATAAAAAATCCAAAGTATGTATCTCTTTATAATACTTGTGCTGCAAGGTACATTAAAGAAGTCTTATCAAAATATTAAAAAAAAAAAAATGCAGATGAATGTCATCTCTAAACTCATGGTGCACTAACTTTTTTGTTAATGTTTATTATGGCTTTGAGTTATAGTTTAAAGTATAACTTTTTTGTATACGATGCATCTATCTATCCTTTCAAGGAACAGCATTCACAGTTGCGTGTCTTTAGGGTTCAATAGCAATGAGCACTCATTTAATATAGTGTCTCTGAATACAGTTAAAAATACAATGAAATGAATTACATACATTTTTGATACTTTTTAATTGCGGCTAATCGATTTATTTACTATTTGCGTTGTAGAGACAGCAAGCTTATTTATACTTTTCTACAGTCAAAAAGTAGACTCCTTTAATGCACTTTACTTGCATGCAGGATATTTCATAATTAATGACATAGGCGCGAAAATAAATCTTACTAAATCACACTTGATATAAAATATATATAATATTAAAATAAAATTTAATCAAATTTGGGCCACTGGACCAATGGCAAAATACTATTTGAAGTATACTGCGTGCAACATAAATTTGCTGCTTGGGTAATACTTTAAATATATATATTGTTTACTTACTTTTGAAATATATTTTCCAGTGTAACCCATTTAATACAACCTAGTGAAGATCTTCGGCATTCTATTCAAATAGCAAAGTTGCAAATTCGCACGGCGATGCAAGAAATGTTAAAATGAATACAGAATATCTTACAGAAATTTATAGATTAGATTGTGTTTATTGGTTCTAATTTATTTTACATTTAATAAATACATTTGAATATTAACAATTTTTACTTTTACTTTATTTTCCTATATAATCCTAAATGAATTTGAACTATTTTGTATTTAGAAATTGGCAAATATTGTCGATATGAAAATAACAGCTGATTTAAATCTTAAACAGAAATTCGAGTTTTGTCGAATTTTATTCTTACGTATAAAATCGCTTGAACAGTTTTTTTATTCATCTTAATAAATTTTTCAATATGAAATTAGAAGTTTTACTTACAGATTGCAACACAAAGTAGCATAATTGTAGTCTAAGAATAAAACAAATTGCAACTAAATATTATCTTTTGTGCTGACTTAAATATATCATTTATATGATAATTGAAGAATTCGGATCCCATTGAATATCATTTCTATTTTTTGCACTGAAACTTTTGTACGGTGGTGTGTTTTCTTGTTGTATCTTAGTAGTCTTATTTTTTAATAATTGTTGCGGCGATTTTGTTGGAATTGCATGAGTTTTACCATTAGATCTGTTGGCTAGAGGTGTTCGATTCTAAAAAAAGATTATAATAATATAGTTAATATTTAACCAAATGTGTATTTTTTTGCATTTATAAATTACCTTGACTACTTCGTTACCATATTTGCTATCAGGACTGAAAATCTTTTTCTCTGATTTCAATTTTACATCTGTTTTAAGGATTTTATCTATGTTTTCTCCATCTTCCTCTTTCTGATTATTTTCCATCTTTGTTGGTTTTGACAGAGAAATGTTTTTAACAGTATATTCATCAAATATATTTTCCTTTAGAATCTCTTCCCGAGATGGTTCTCTCTCGATTTTCTTTCGTCCTTCTTTCTTTTCCTTACTTATTACATTTTCTTCTGATATTGATGAATCGTGCCATATTTTAATCTTATTGTCATCCTTTATTCGCATAGATTTCATATTTTGCTCAATAACGTCTTCACGATCATTTTGTTTGTCCATATTGTCTTCCTGTTTGTCAATTGCTGTCCCTTCGTCTGTAACTAATGATCTGTCATTCGTGAGTTTAAGGTCTGAGTTTTTAATAACTGTGAGGTCTTCTTCGCTTACAAAAATACTTGAATCAGAATCGGACTTGGATATGTCAAGTATATTCAATTCGGCTCGCGTTTCAGAATCTAACTGCTTCAAGCGTTTGGAAGCTATGTCTGGCAACAACTGTATTTCAGTATTATCGAGTGATATGCTTGTTTCCTGCCATGAGTTTCTCGGATTATAAACGTCTGTGTCATAACTGCCTTTGCGGTTCAAGTTATCTTGTGATCGAGCTTTTAACATTGCGAGAGACTTTGGTATTAAAATAGGGGTTCTGTTGAAGTCAGCTGCTGGAGATCTTGGATCAAGTCCCAAAATTCTGTAACGTTCCTTCTCTATTGCTGTTAAATTTTTTGGCGTTTTCGCGATATTAGTATCCGATCTCGAAGAATTTTGTACATTATTCTGTAAAAAAGGAAAACATGCAAGTGAAAATATTTTTCTTAGAAAAATAAAGTATAATTTGTTACTAATAAAAGGTATGCTAATAAAAATATGCATTTCATGTATTAAATAGTACAATTTGGTTTCATCATATAATTTCATTTAGTACACAGAAAGCAACGATTTAGATAATAAATAGCGTACCAATTCTTGTGACTGAATGTCAAGTGTCAATTTTTCTGCAAAATTTTTCTTCGGTGACCATTGTGGCATAATATCTAAATTAGTTTCGAGATATTGCATTTTCTGTAAATGTTTTGGGATTGCATTAGGTGTTCTCTTATTTACTCCTACTGGAATGTCTGCAATCTGTATAAAATATGTTACTTTTCTATGTTACCAGAATTATTAGTTGTAAGTCTACATGCAACTTGTATTCAACATATTAATATGGTAAAGATTATAGATAATACAAACTCTTAACATAGAATTTTAAGATTAAAACCGAGGTTTGCAGTTGACTCCATATCAAATTATTAATTAGAATCTTACCAAGATGGGAGTTCTTCTGATTCCTTGTGAAGCTGAACGTGGATCAATCAACAATTTTCGATTGAGATATGTTGGTGTGCAACAATTGTCTTCTTCAGCTACTTGTTGCTGTTCCACAGCCTGTGTTTCATTTTCTCTTCGATTATCATCAGCATGAGAGAACAACTTGTTCATATAATTACCCATGATTTCTGCACAGATACATAATAATATTTAAGAAAGAAGGTAAAAATCTTATAGTAATTATACATTCTGCATGACTTACAACCATTACAATTTTATATTGTTTAGATAAAATCTACAAGTATATTTTTGTATACAGAACACATTAAAGTATAAAAATAGATATTATGTTACAAAATTATAAGTAGAACATGTGCAAAAATACATACAATGTCTAAAAAGGTGGCACAAAACGTAGCAGAGATAACAGTATCAAGAGAGAAATAGCTCTTTGTTCTTATACGTTTGGACTTGTCAGACTTATGACTGTTGGTGTTCAATTATTATGTCAATTTAATTATTCCCGTTGCTTCTTATGTGTCGTTTGAATAAATTAAGTAATTTTGCAACTGCGATATACTTGTCGAGTTTGTAGTTAAAAACACAGAACAAGATCGCAAGTTCTGCCGCACAGCCGTTTGTGACCCCGGTGCTTTAAATCGTTGTTTACATCATTCAAAATCAAACTGCTAAACGTTGGACTAGTGCCAACCAATGAAAATAAGAAATCCTACGTTCTTTCTTGCCACATGTCAAGCGGATCGCGTTTCTAGAAAACAAACTTTTCCATTGGAGGTTAAAACATCATAGTGTGGATCCTCCATGAATCCTGCATGAGATTGGTGGAAAGAAAACTGAAGGAGGGAGGATGGTAAAAAGTACAGAAAGTGCATATGTATATATATATAAAAGACAGATTCTTCGGTTGACAGTTGGAGGTTAGGAACAAAAAGCTGTACAAAGCATTGTATTTATCACAGCAAGTATGTGATGTAGCTATGATCAATTTATAAATAATTGTATCATCAGTATAATAGTATTGATTAATTATTATTGCAGAAAAAATAAGTTTTAGGTATTTGAATATTTATGAACAGTTTCGACTGTGATTGAGCTTTTCCTATCGAGAAAATAAACAAATCGAGATTCAACTCGTTCAACGAAATGAATATGTTAAACGATGCAAATACACAAGAGACAAATACAGGCAATATTTTTATTTTGACAGTGTTTTATATTATATATCTTTATTCGTTACAAGAAAACAACGTGTTCACATAAATATTTTCTATGATTAGAGATGAAGCTACAGAAGAACGTTCGTCACAATATGGTGAAAATTTTCAAATGTTCCGAATGTGGACTGACCTTTGATCGTGCCTCGCAACTCGGCTATCATCATCGAAGTATTCACCTAGGAGAGAGATCTCAAGTATGTCAGATATGTGGGAAAGGTTTCTTCCGCAAAGCAGACTTGCGTACACACCTGAATGTCCACCTGGGCACAAACTTCTGCATCTGTGAGTTTTGTGGAAGAAGATTCAATCACATATCAAATCTTATAAGGCACTGCAGAGTGCATGCAGGTGATGTATCCGATGATAAACTCAGATGGTATTATGTCAGAGTGTAAATATTTGAGAAAAAAAAAATAAAGTTACAGAATGGAAAGCAAGCATTGATGGTGATAACTAATAAGTACTTATCAGTATTTTTATTTGCGTTATCTGCAGGAGTTAAGCCTTATCTATGCTCAATTTGTGACAGACGGTTCACGCAAGTTTCCTCGCTAGTAAGACACAAACAAATAATACACGGGATACCAAAGGAAAGCATGCGTCAGTATTGCAGTTCTAGTCTTATCAGCAATAAATCTCAAGTCACTGAGCATGTGTCTAAAGAGAATGAGGTAACGAGCAATTATTGTTGTTGGTCCTACTTATATCTGCATTATCATTGGAATCACAATGCAAATTTTTAGTTTATTAAAAGTATCGCGACAGAGCAACAATTGGTCGCTAAACGGCGATGTTACGAATCTTGCGGGGATTGTTTCAGTTGCGTAGCTCTCTCGCGACAACACAAAACGCGTCGTTCGAGAGCGCTGTGTTATCAGAGTATAATAGTTATAAGAAGGTGATGGTTAAATACATAACTTCTCAACAGAAGTGCGTTCAAGATTCATGTGTCTCACTTATTCTGCTCTTTTCAGATGACAGACAATAACGTTAAAGATAGATATCATGAGAAAATAAGTGCGGAATCGAAATGCCAGAGTACTGATCGAGAAGTAGATGCACAGAATAAAGATAAAATATCCAATCAACATAATATTGACACGAACAACACAGCTGTAACGGCGTATTTACCTCTGGAGACTGTTATCTATGTCACGTCTAAACAGGTAAATACTTGAAATAATTCAAGCATTCAATCATTATACAGTATGTAATTATGAGCCTCTAATAATATAAAACTGCAAACGAGCAGTTCGAAGAAGACAATCTGGCGGAGATTGAGCATCGCTTGTCGCAAGATTACCTCGCCGGGATCGAAGAAAAACTCCAATCCATCGACTTGTCAACGAGTAAAACCGTTGTTTCGAGTCCTCCTCAGGATGCAGCCTGTAATCACGAGCAGGCACAATCCAAAGACAATATAATTCACCAACATCAGCTCGATAAAAACAGTTTTACCTTTTTACCGCGAGATAGAGGACCCGGTGACGCAGAGGCGCGCGCGATACAAGACTTTAAGCAGGACTCCGTGGCAAGGAGCGACGTCGGCAAGTTGGATATGGGAACGAACTTGCAGACGTGTGATTCCGATGAAGTCTCGGCGGATCCGAAGTTCCTGCATAAGCAGATGTGCAAGGAAACCATCAACGAGGACAGGAAATGCGAGAAAGCGTCATTGAACGACGACAATCAGTTGTACATCGAGCTGTCCGAGTTGGGCTTGTTAAAGTTTGACGAGTCTCGTTATTGCGGTAATACGGATTTGGACACGGTGAAGTCTGAACACTCCGCGAATCTCGCTGCTAACAACTTAACGTACGCCCCCGTTTCCGCTGAGAATCAGGAAAGCTTGCCGCGCAACGAGGGCAACCAGGAGGTTCTAAGCAATCCCGGTAATATAGCGTTGAACAACGAGGACCCGATGTTGCGTATGGTGCAGACGGAGGCGGGTGAGCAATTTTACGAGTTCATAAGCAACTTGGTGGAGAAGATGCAAGACAATTCGAGCGTAGAGAATACGGGGAACAAAGTGGAAGAGCCGTCGAGCACCTTCGAGCACTGTCGAAGTAACGACTCGCGGGATACGCGCGAGGATAACGAGAAGAACGGCCGGACGGAGCACCAGCAGACTCTGGAGGACCTCACCGACATAAATCACGAATTCAACTACACGCAGTTCGATTTTCACAGAGACGAGAAGAGCTTCACCGTTCTGTGCGACCACGAGTCTGGGCATTTCCAGCAGGACTCGCGAGAGAACTGTGCGACCGCGCTGCAGGAGAAGAATTTGCAGACCTACGGCTCCGGTAACCTGGAGCTGCTGGAGAACGAGTCGCACGTGGACTTCGACAAGTACGTCGAGACAAATTTCGAGGTGTTCGAGCGACTGAATTATGAGAACTGCAACGAGAGGTTCTTCGAGTTCGTGGAAGTCGCCGATATCGGCGTGGAATCATCGTCATCGGCGAGCAAAGAGTCACCGATGGTGTGCTTAGTCCAAAACGACGGCGACCAGTTGTTAGAGCTGTTGCAGGACTGTCAGATCACCGAGCAAGAGTCGGACTTCGCTTCCTCGAGCAAGCTCGACGGCGATTGCTCGAACGTTCTGCAGGACAACGATAAGATCGCTGATTGCCCCGAGGGTAAGCCGGACTTCTTCGCGTACGTGGAGCCCGGCGCGCTGTTGAAGGAAGACATGAGCAACGAGCGAGGCACCGCAGACTCAGGTAACTCTTTGTACACGGATCTGATGATCAACAACGATATGAGCGTAAGCAACGGGAGCGTGAGCGATGAGAGTCGCGTCGGAACGTCGAAGGAAGCGAAGAAGCCGGAGAAGTCGGAGAAGCCGGAGAAGTCGAAGAGCTCGCCGAAGAAGTACCAATGCTCCGTGTGCAAGAAAGCGTTCTCGACGGCTTACAACTATAAACAGCACATTGGCATACACTTTACGGATCAGCAGAAGTTCCACTGCAAAGAGTGCGGAGTGTCCTTTGCCTGGAAATCCACCCTGAACAAGCATATCGCGAGCACTCACAGCTCCAATTGGCCGCCCAAGTTTGTCTGCGACATTTGTCCGAGGGTCTACAGCACCTTGTCGCAAGTGAACGTGAGTGCTTGTCGCTTTATAACGTCGTTAGGTCTGTGTGGCAATTTGTTGCTTGCTCGTGATGTTTTCGACTGAAGCAAGCAAGTTGGACCTTGCTATCAGAATTCTCCCCGAATAAAACTGTTCTGTAACTTTTAACAAGAGCGTCGTTATCCTTACATTGTCGTTGCGCAGGTATAGTGTGTAGCAGAGAAGGTTCGCATCGATAACGTAACGATAACGACACTCTTGTTAAAAGTTACGGAACAGTTCCTATCTGTTCAACTTCAAATTCTCAAGATACAATGCGATTAAAGCGAATATGAATAAATGAACAAAATTAAGATACACTTTAGGGAATTAAAGATCCCACGTTTATGATTAATCGATGCAGATGAGTTGATCAGTTATTCAATAAAAATTTCGATAATTTTAAATACTTCTACGAAGCGTGCAGGGATCAAGTCTGTCGAATAGTTTAGTTTCACTTCACCAAGGCGCTACCTTCGCGGAATTCATCAGCCTGTACGTACGCTAATTCGAAGGTGATACATTTTATGCGCAGGAGCACGTGAAGAGGGATCACCTGAAGCAACGTAATCACGTTTGCGACCACTGTGGCAAGTCCTTCTTCAAGAGCTTCGACCTGAAGACCCACAGCAGAACGCACACCAACGAACGCCCGTACGCGTGTCGGGTTTGCGGCAAGAGGTTTCACTATCAGAGCCACATCATTCGTCACGAGCGCACGCATTCGGGCGAGAGACCGTACGTTTGCGTAGTCTGCCAGAAGGCCTTCATACAGCCCGGCTCGCTGAAGGTGCACGAGCAGAAGCACCGGCTGCTCAGGATGGACATCCTGAATTACCAGATCGACGAGGACGATCCTATCGCGTTGATGACGTTATAAAAGTTGCGCGACATGTCTTACCTACGCGACCGTTATTATATTGTAAGAGATCACGCAGGTATCTCTCAATTTCTATTTTATCGCCATTGTTATCGCCATATTATTTTTTTAACTAAACCCGTCTGAAACGTGGAAGGAGATGTCTATTCATTTCATCGCATCGGGGCTCAGCTCGTGGAATCTTACAAGCATACGTTTACTTCGTCTGCTCTTCGTGTGTTTTATTATTTCAAATATTAAGCATGACTTGATTGAAATTCATAGTTTCGAGGAACATATCCTCGTTCACACATTGTAAATCGGGTTTCAAAAAGATTTGAATATTTTTTTCCGAATGCATTGAAAAAAGTTTCGTTGATAAATTCAATATTTGATAATCAAATTTTTCATGAATTTTAATTGTTGCGAGGAAGGACACATGATCAGTACGCGGCACGGGAGACTTTTTCTCGAAGAACTCTCAAAATTCTCGTCGGACATTTGATACATTCCTAACAGCATCCAAAAAAAGAAAAAAAGTGTCAAACCGTTTTGAAATTCAATGTATCGTTCTATGTTGGAAGGATCTGATTTCACGAAGGAAACTGGAAAATTAAAGAGATATACCTTTAAATTTGCCGCCACAATCGGGCGACAAAATTACATCCAGTCGTAAATCGTGAAACACGCTAGTGAGGGCAGATATTCGCGCTGGAAGCTCTATCGAAGACGGACCGATCGATGTATCGACCGGCCGGGTATCGATTACCAGTAGCGGCGTGATCGATACACGCGCCGCGACTACCCGCGAATACGAATTTGATTTCAGTACGCGTCTCGCCGGCAACAACAAGCAAGGATAAACGGCACGTCCACGGTGCTCCAGCGGTTGTTCTCGAGCAAGAAAAGCAAGGTAGGCAGAGCCGTGCCGTCCGTTTTTCCTCCGACTCCCACGCGATTCGCACTCTCGCGCTCCCTCGTTCGCGAACGTTCGCGCCGCTGAGGCGCCGCGCGTTCCAGCGCGATAAAAGCGCATCTAATATTACGACATGACTCACGCCACGATTCTCGCGATCCGCTTGCGACGAACCTGAGAGACTGTTCCCGTTTTCGTGGCCGTTCGCATTCGCGTCTACTCTCCGCGCACACAGCAGTCCTCTCTTTTTCTCTCTCTCTCTCTCTCTCTCTGTCTCTGTCTCTCCGTCCTTCCGTCATTCTCTTTTTGTATCTCCCTCTCTTTTTTTTCCTCGCTGCGTGCTGTTATATGTACGATACTTCTCTGGCGATTTTACTAGTGCACGAGTGCGAGAGCGAGCGCGTATCCGTCCGGCGATAACGTGACTGCCGAATAGTAATCGTCGGATTGTTTAGGCGTGCTGAATCGTCACGAGTTGAGATCGCCGCTCGCGGTAGCCCTTCAGGTAGCCCGAGAGAGATCACATGTGCTTACAAGTCGCTCTTGCAGAGCCCAGCAGTGTGATCGAGAACCCGACGATTGTTGCGTGATACTCGAATTTAATTGACGTTCCTAACCTCACTTTGCGATAACTCGCTCAGTCGCTCGCTCTCTCTCTCTCTCTCGCTCTCTCTCTCTCTCTCTCTCTCTCTCTCTTTCTCACTCACTCACTCACGCTCTGTCTCTCTCTCTCCTCTCTTTCTCACTCTCTGTCTCACTCTTCCTTCTGCCTTGGCCACGGAGAGATGTCAGTTTAACGTCGACGAAAAAAATCCAGTTGCATTGCTCTCGCGGCTGCTGCTCGCCTCTAAATATCGCTTAACCCGATAACTCGATAACGTACATCTCCGCTGCGTGGTAAGAGAGCTTAATCACTTATCGTCCGCAAGATCCTCCCGTCATCCTGACTCTTGCATACCTTGTCCTTTTTCCATCCTGTATCAATGATTCAAACACCGTGTTAATTTCGCACGTGCATTTCCATTATCTCGTATTTCTCCACGTTATTCCGCGGCCTTATTCTTCTTGGAAAAAAAAAGTAAAAAATGCAAAGCCGCTTTTGTTACGTGACGATAACGTAGACATTGTCTTGTGGAAGTGGCATGTATTATTTATAAACATTTACAATAATATCTCAGTTTATATTTGCTATATACAATTACTGCAGTATTCACAGCGCTACTTTACCTTTTTGGGCTACATTTCCTTTTTGGGATAGATGTTCCAAATTTTTCTCTTTAGTATATTTCACACAAGACAGTTAATTATCCCAAGTTGTCTCTAAACAGTCTATAATTTTTCCGTTGACTGTTACTATGAGCTTCACTTTGTGAGTGTGAATTACAAATGTTGTGAAATATTTATATTTTTAACAATTTTATTTGTATAAAGTCATATCTTCCACAAAACATGTCTCTCTGCTATTTCACAGTAATTAAGTATATATAAATCTACATGATATATAAAGCAATGATCTTATCTCATTGAAACAGGATGTATAGATAAACAGATCTATAAGAACATTTATAAATTAATCCTTCAGTATACATGCATTTACCTATAAATGTAAAATATTCATCTCATGTATCATTTTTGTTTGTCATTTTCTTAAATATATTTATTTAGTAAGTGCTATATGAACAAACTGTTACTTGAAATATAATTATAACTATATAAAAATTACTATATCTTGAGTATATTAAGAGAATACATCGAACTCTAAGTATTTCGCTAGAAAATTTTGTGCCTAAATAACATAGGTATTTTTATTTCAGTGAAGGAAGGGATGCCACGAGGCAAGCGTAGAGGACTTTCTAATACAAATCACAACCATACTTCTGTTGAAATGTCACCTAGTGCCCATGAAGAAGGTCTACCTAGACATCCTTCAAAACGGTTAAGGCAACATACCTCCAGGTAAATTGCAACAACATTATTTATGATAGTCTATGAGTACTTATATTGCTACTTGTCAAATATTGCTCAATACCAACAACAATCTATAACATTCTGATTTAATTGTGTTGCAATGAATAATTGATGCATATGTCATATATATAAATGTAAAACAAATACTTGAGAGAAGTAAGAAAAGAACATATATTGCAGAAGAAGGTTCGCATACATAATTGTTTCTATGATATATAAATAATATTTTTGTTTGCAGTGCCCGACGTTATACAAAAAACGAGGATATATCCAGTGCATCAACCTTTTCACAGAAGCGTTGTATTACCTGGTTCAGGGAATATACCACACCAGACGAACCGGATACTCTTGGGCCTGAAGGAATGGAGAAATTCTGTGAAGATATTGGGGTAGAACCTGAAAACGTAGTAATGCTCGTTCTTGCGTACACAATGAATGCACGTCAAATGGGCTTCTTTACGCTGAGCGAGTGGTTGAAAGGTTTTTCGGAACTCCAGTGTGACTCCATTAGTAAAGTACAACAAAAGCTCGAGTACCTAAGGAATCAATTAAATGACCCACACACGTTTAAGGGAATCTACAGATATGCTTATGACTTCGCTAGAGTACGTATGCTTCTGTATACGTTAATATATGCACAGGATGAATGTCGAATATCCTAGCAAGAATTGATTAATTATGTCATCAAAATTCCCGCAGGATAAAGATCAGCGAAGTATGGACATGGAAACCGCAAGAGTAATGCTACAGCTGCTTTTGGGTAAACATTGGCCCTTATTTACGCAATTTGCTCAGTTCCTAGATCAATCCAAGTACAAAGTGATCAATAAGGATCAATGGTGCAACATATTAGAATTTTCACGTACAATCAATCACGATTTATCTAATTATGATTTAGATGGAGCATGTAAGTACAGTGAGATGGAGTGTTTGTATTGTTAAACGGAGTGCGATAGATTATCTCGCATACGTGTGGATAACGTAGAGATTCTTTCAGGGCCAGTAATGCTCGACGAGTTTGTCGAGTGGTTAAAAATTCAACGGGGTGAGGATGCATCATCGACAGAAGCAAGAGGCAGCTGAAACATCTTATGAGAATAGTCTATTGAACTAAGAACAATTCATCTCTCTTTTTGTCATAAAGACTTTGTTAATAATGAAATTTCCGTTTACGAATCGTGCTCTCGCGACATTTCACTTCACATGCGTCACATTCGTATTATCTCTTATTTCTTTAATTTTTTTTTTATTAAACGATAATAATGTATTATAAGTAGCTTATCTCTTGATATGATTTATGGTAACTTTTACACACGATTGAGTTCAAACGTACTCAATTACTTTCATCTACTTACAGTTGATCCGGGGTTTGTCGCAGAAACTTTTGTGATTAAAAATAAAACTATTTTGATATATAAAATTTACTTGTGCAATTTTTATAAGGATAATTTCGAGATAATGAATTCTCCATGATGTAAGCAAGCTAAAATCATGTAACATTTTCCAAATTGAGTAATACGCTTGAAGATGATTACCATCAACATACAGTGACTGTAGAATGCACACTTTATGTCATTGCGAATATGTTGAACATATTATTTAAATAAACTAATAAAAGAGTAACCATACACAACTTTCACATTCCAAGTCGATAATACGAATTGTCTGGATATTCATTAACACGTTTCGAGCAAATTTCGAAAATTCGTTTCTAATTTTGTATTTTATTTGTCATGAATATCTTGTGTAATACCGATTTTTTCTTACAAAATTTTCATTTTATGTATAATATTGTCATTGAACACGACATTTAACATGAATATCATTAAGTAGAATCATCGGCGAAATAAAACACATTATGCCAGGTGCTACTACACAACGTTTAGTATTCTAAAAGCAGTATCATAAAGTGTCGATATCACGCTATTTAGTCAAAATTAAGTAAATCTTGTAAATGCTGAAATTATCGATGTATATTAGAATAACGAACTCTTATTAAAACATTGTAATATTTATTAAGTACAACTACTTCTCTCGACCTTTCGAATTCACCGATATCATAATATATGCTTTTACTGATAAGGATACAAAATCCATCAATACAAAAAAGGGGCTCTTGTTTCGCGATTGTTTATTTATAAAAAGAGAAAAAGAATGTTATGCTACTATATCTCAAATTATTGTTTCATCCAATAGTTTTAATGATGCGTGTACCTATCCGTCGATTGTTACATCATTCAATTTCTGCGACTGTCTCTTATCTCAAATTTTTAATATCAAGATTTAATATATTTTAGAGCACACACACGTCGCCCAACAACTTCTACAAAGATTTTGAAACTGTATGTATAATGATTATACAAGACAACCATGTAAAATATATTAGTTTGATAAAATGTTAATCCCGTTTTCATTTGATAGATTTATCATGATTTACTAGGCTTTTCAACTTACGCGTCACTAGGAAGAGAGTCATTCTGTAAGTAAACTTCATCAACGATCACATTCAACAGTCAAGCAATTAACACATCACAAGTTTGTTCAATTGTTAAACTTATTTCGTATATTCGAATATGCATATATTTCTTTTGCATGTGTATTTCTATTATATCAATAATGTAATTAATATAATTATATTAACGATATAATTCCCGCGTGTTTATCTCATAATCTCTTCTAAATACGATGAATATAAATTTTCTGAAAAGAAAATATGTACTCATTGTAGCGGATTATAATGCGTTCTAGGCTGCAGCATTATTACTGCCATATATTTGGAGTATGTATAATGTATTGGATATAACGAGAAACAAATAAAATACTTTTTCCAGTATTTCATTTATCACTCTCGATCGACATTCTTGTGCGATTCAAGTATTATATAACATCTTTATAGAAAGCAAGAGAGCATATAAAAAATACGTTCCTCAAACATTTTTTTTTAATATATAAATTGACTACCGATATGTATACACATATATGCACACCTATATATATATATATATATATATATATATTAATAACGATATGATTATATATAATTGCTTTAACATTATATACAGATACATATTAACAATATTAACAATATATTTAGGATAATATTACTACATCGTTCGAAGTTGCATAAAATACGCAATTTCTAATACAAATACATTAGAAATGGTAATTAATAGTAATCACAACCGTTATATAATGATTGTCTATAATATGAGTGTAAAAAGTGCTTGTGTGTGAAAGTATTTTTAAGCCTTAAATAACTTATTAGATGGCTATGGATAATACACTTTGAATAAACAATAGCGTTAGACCGTTGTGTACTTGAAATACACAAGGGATGCATTATGCGATACATTTCAATTATATATCACCTCGAATTCTTCGTATTCCTGTGAAAATGAAGATTGTGTATTGCGTACAAAATTATGCGGTAAGCTCATGATGAGCATATAAAATTATACGTAATGCGCATTTTTTTTTGGAAACTCGGATCCAAGATGATTCGGAAATGAGATCCTCTCGGAAAGTAAATCCCCTCCTTCGACGAAGGTCCCGTACGGTCACGGGAAGAACCGGCATTGTCCTAAGGTGAGCATAGAAATGCTGCCGATAGTTAGCAGTAGACACAGGTACCTGCCTGTGATGGGTACTCTGAACAATCTGGCGTACATCCTCAAAGAGGACGTGTACAGCAGTATAGTATCAAGATCTTGTCCCGGAGTACCTTGGTACACGAACGGCCGGACGCGTACTTCGTGCCCTATGGTCTGTATCGTGGAACAAGCGGTGGTTAAACGCGCGGCCTGAAGAAGACAATGAGCGAGTCAATGAGAGATGTCACGATACAACAACAGAGTAGCGCGATTCGGTGAGCAGAAAATTACTGGTAGAGCGTTACTGCAACTATATCCAGTCAGAACCATAACGTTGTTTCGACTTTGATTTCGATTGACGTTGAAATGGTCGATGAGCCGTTGAATCAACGTTAATTCAATCCTCATCGACGTCGAATCAACATTGTGGTTCTGTCTACTCAACAGCGCGTAATATTTTCTAACATGTAGGTTTTAACCGTCGTATCAATATCATTATGAATAACTTCAGCATTATCGTCGACTTAATGTTTTTTGTTTACAGCCGTTTACCTGCACGAATGGTGCGATCGATATCAAGATCCACAACATAACGTTCATCACATTGACGTATGTGACTGGATTTTTCTCGATCTCGTCGGTATCATATTGAAACAGCCAGATAATACCAGCAGCCGCCCACGATAGGTTGACTATAGTGTAAATGCACACAGTCGGGCCCAGCTCGTCGTTGAAGTATTTCAGTAGCTTCTTGAATTCGCAAATTTCCTGCAAATACGCACAAACTCTGTGATTTCTGCTTCCTGACGGAAGATGCAACGGACGGAGTGTCGTTAGAACGTATCGACTGCGTACCCTCATCCAATCGATGGGCGGCAGAGTGTGCTGGAGCAATTTACCACGTAGGAAGTACAGATGCGACATCAGCAGCTGCCCTTGCAAGCAGTAACTCGTTATGATAGTTCCTTGAACCATGTCGTGCCATAAGGTGCAGACGATCAGGAATACCTTCAACGTTATCTTCACTTGGTGAGGACTGCAACAAGGATACATAATATGGCAAATTGACGTGCAAAATAGAGAGTCAGACGGTAATTATTGCCATCCTGAGTAACTCGCCATCGAGCTTTTCTTCGATGAAGTAAGAACCGGAAGAAAGCGTTACCGCCGTAAGACGAACGCTTCGGTATCGCGTAATTTTTCAAAATTCAATTTTTCTTCCACTCTCAGATTTTGAAGATATTCAAGGTGGTAACACGGTCATCGTCTCACCGTCTGTATAGATGTAGAAGAAACAAGAAGTACAGATCAGATGTATAAAAACATCCGGTGTAAAATCGTCATTCAGAAGAGAAGGTCAAAAGAACACGGCCAGGACACAGGATGCAAGTGTGCAAGGATTCACGTCGTCTCGGTCGAGGGGTGAAACATTGCACACCTGCGTCCTGAATCAAAAGGTGCGACACAAACGTTACGTTACTCTGGCTCAGTCGGCTTTCAGCGGTAGGACTGACGGAATTACCTGTGTTCCAACCAGCGGAATGTAATATTTCCCTTCGCCATCAGGATATTCACCGTAACTAATGCCATAATCATCCACACGACGCTCAACGCTATGAACAGCCACAGTATATGGACAAGACGCTTCTGATTGCCGCGGTTCACGGGATTCGACGAGAGCAGGAAGGCTCTCTCCATCAGATTCTGCAGCTGTTCGTTCTCCTTAATGCGAAATAAGTACACTGTGTACATGTACGCGACTAGATGCAACGCGCTCGGGATCAGGTAGCTGAATATCATGTTCCCGTGGCAGAGCGACTGCGACCGTTCCCCGCCAATGTCCGACGCAGCGTTCTCCAATGGTAATACTTTGTAACAAAACCCCCGATCTCTCCTGAAAGTAACGAATGCGTTCTTACAAATGCCGCTAGCAGATCAGACATCTTCGCGTTAGTTATGTTTGATTTCCAGTAAACAAAAATCAACATCATGAAACGCTGTGTATCTCTTTCTCTCTCTCTCTCTCTCTCTCTCTTGGATGTTCTCACTTAATATTCCTAAAATATTTTCAAAAAATATATGATCTTCTCGAATAACACGAGACGGTTTTAGGTATCGAGGTGCTGAAGCTATTCGCGATGACATCGATATTAAATATCAAGTTAAAATCAAGCGTTATCGATGACTCTGCTCAGCGGATGTGGACATCGAGATTTCACGGACTAATCGCGCTTTACCTGAAGCAAGCCATGTACTGTAAAATGTACCCGATGCACATAAATACAGCGACTTGGAAGGTGTGAAGATTCGCCAGGATGCAGCACCGAGAGTCATCGCTGCTGGTTGCCTTCAATCCCATCACTGCCAGCAGTCTCAGGTACGGCATCAATATTTTGTGTTTGCAATAATGGAGCACCGCCGACGTACTCAGGTTCTCGTAATCCGGCATCTCGGCGATTTCGCCGACCTGTTCCGCGATATACAGATTCATATTTTAAGTCGCTTAGTTCGACGTAGAAATTTGCAGAAATTTGTGGCACTCTAAGTACCACGACATGCGGATTGAACAACAGAAGACACAGTTGTAGAATCACGCAGGAGTTTGCGAGAAACTGATGCGCGTACGTCAGTAACAAAACTAATACTCACCTCGGTGCTTTGAATATGCAGATCCGTTAATATGGAGATGGAGACCTGCGTGGATTCCTCATGATTCTGCTGAGGGGGTGGGTCCTTGCCATTTTTTGACTCGTTGTTAGAGTCCATCTACAAGAATTGCGGATAATTTTATTGTTAATGTTGTTTTGTTATACGACGGGAATTGTATGTGCTCTACAAAGAAGTAGACCCTCAGTGAATACATCTTCAAGTATCTACAATCGCGCGGCTCACTGTGAAGAACATAGAATTTATGAATATATTATGTTAAACAGGCACAATTACATGACGTATAATTATAATTTTGTATGTCATTGTACGTTGCTGATTACAATCGGAAATTAATCATCTTCCGTTTGCGCATTACGTTGTGCCAAGTATCGGATGGGGGACGAATACTGTACGCATCTTCCCGAAATGAAGATTCGATTGCGCGATGTTTGTTTACGTCCAAGCCCAAACAGCATTCTTCCGTAACTTAACATTAAGATTTGAGCCTATTAAGTCGCGGTGTACATGTCGGCGAGAGCACGAGAGAAAGAGAGAAGTAGAGCGTTTTATTGAAATATTGATATCTTATCTCGCGTGTGAGATGGCCGTCAACAGCACTTTGACGTTGTAGCTTTTTTGTGGCTGAATTAGACTTGGTAGACTTATTAATAAAAATAACAATTAGCGACTCACCAATGTCATTTCTCCTGGTCGAGTGCGACGCTTTTGAACTTGGAAACACTTGTATCAATAGTTCGACGCGCGGCTTTTTTTCTTTCACCCTAACATGTGAATTTAATTATATCACCGTTCGCCGATGACACTTCACCTCTGCCCGGAGATATCCACTGCGACTAAACAAATTGTTGCGCTCGCGGCGTTATGAATCGCATGGTAAGCACTCGCGGTGCATACGGAAATATGCATTAGGAGCAAGTGCGATTACGGAAAGAGAAAGAGAGAGAGAGAGAGAGAGAGAGAGACAGCAGATATACGAAGTTATCTTTGTATACATATTATTAAAAAATATTAACAATATACGTTGAACAAAAATCCATTGACGATAGATCAACGACGTCTCTTCTTGGAGATATTCCCTGCCGGTCGTAACAGGTGTTTAAACTCTTTCCTGTGATGTTTCACTTCCATAGGTCGTTTTCTCTGCGGAAGATAAAGAGAAGGTAAGATCAAGAATACGCGCATGGCGACATTTTCTTTCAGCGGACGATCGAACGAATAGACGTACCTTGCCGACGGTAAAAGTCATTTCTCGACAACCGCGCGAACCGGACACCTTCGCGTTGTGAACCTCCTCGTTCTTCAGTCTGTCCGAGAACGATGCTCTGCGAAAGATTGCAGCACAATTTTTGAGTACAACATTCGAAATGCCTATGTGCGACATGCGATAAGCCAAAGCGAGACTGTTATTTACTTGTTTCTCCTGGTCGTTGGCTCGCCCTCCTCGAACTTCACGCCATTCCTAATTTTGCCTAGCCTCGGCTCATTCTTCGCGGCCGGGTTATTATCCTCTTCCCCACTATTCTCTTGCTCCTCCTCCTCCTCCTCTCTCTCGTTCTTCTTTAGCAAGCGATAATTCTTTCGCACTTCTTTAGCCCACAGTTTCTCGTCGTCCGAGCTATCAGAGCTATCGTATTTGACGCTCTCGTCCGAGTTATTGCCTTTAAGAGCAAATTGATACAACATGAATTCTTTTTATACATGTAGATTCCTCGTAGGAGGGAACGGTATTTAAAATTTTCGTCGTTACCTTGCGCTCCATCTTCGTCAGGAATAGCCCGCGAGTCCTTTTCTTCCTGCGCTAATCGCTGCTTCAGTTCTTTAGCCTTGCTCTTATCAAGCTGAGAAATAACAGGATTTAATAGGATGTATTCTTCGGTATTTTTGTCGACTTGGAAATCGGGGTTGCTGAAGAGAGCCTTGAATCGCTCGTCATGCAGCAGAGTGGAAGACACCTGTTTCTTGCGATTTTTGTTGTTCGCATGGTCCATCAATTTCAACGCTAGCTCTTGATTCACGCTCGGTAACTTTTGTATCTGTTTAGTAGAGTAAGCATTTTATGAGAATGTGAATGTCGATTTCGAAAATGTTAACTATTTAAATATTTCAATGGAATACAACGTATGCATAAAGTGAATTAAAATCAAGTTAGATACCTGTACTCTGTTAGCGCATTCTTCCTTCATCTTCTCTCGAATTTTTTTCTTCTTATACTCTTCGAATTCAAACGGTTTCATTACGTCTCTTGCTTTCCTGTATAATCGTACATCCATGAAGTAACCGTGCATGTAAGCCCTCAGCAGGTTTGTGCCTTTTAGGTGCAAAAGATCCAATTCTTCTAATTCCTTCTCGGTGATAAATTTGTAATTGTCGTAGATAATATCGTAATTCAGCTCCTCCAATTCTTCCGTGAGGTTGTCGAGGAAACTACACCAGGGAGGTGCAGGTCCAAGACTAGGGATGTAATATATCTGCATCTTTGGAGTTTCATTAGCCATTAGGAGCATACCAGTGTTCGGTATGACGCACAAATCGTTCAAATCATTCTGAGCCTCTATAGAAGTGTAAATCTTGCCCTGGAAAGAAAACAATTCAGCTATAAAGTTTCAAGTAGAAAAAATTACAAATGTTACATTGTAGATTCTATGTTTATTCTTACAAATATGTGAAAAGAAAACTAAAAGTACGTGTATCTTATTATCAGTTTTACTTACACTGTTTTTCTCCCATATTTTTACAATGGAGCTATCCATAGAGTAAACAAGATCCATCTTTTCGTAAAACTCTATACTTCTGATTGGTAAGCCATACATATGGTCCTTCATTAAATATGGTTTACTGGATCTTATGTCATATAACATTACTTGCCCCGTCGATGTGCCAACTCCCAAGTTCAAACCTCCTTGAAATTTCAAAGCTGTGACTGCAGGAACTGTTTCAAACCTAGTGGAAAAACTCTTTCAGATTCTATCCATTATGCGAATCGCATCTGATGAAGAGATGGATTTTATTTTCATGTCTTACTTATCATGGATAATACAATGTAGAGCACAGTCCAATATGCCAACTTTCTTTTTCATCCTTGGGTCCCAAGCTTCAACTTTTCCTTCCTGTGTACCGACCGCGAGCAAATGATGTGATGGATTTATATCACATTTATTTATTGAACTTGCTTCAGTTTCAAATGATTGTAAAAACTGACCACGTTCGAGATTTATCCTGTAAATCTCATTACTGCAAAAATATATTGTAATCATTTCTATCTTTTTATAATTTAAATACATACATATATTTATGCATAATAGGAATTTCAGGTTATTTTATAATTATTAATTATAACAGATGCCAAAATATTGATTTCAGAACTAACCTATCACCCACAATAAAAGTATCACATGATGGATAGTGATATTTCAGATCTCTTCCAAATCGTGGTATCCTGAGTTTGAAATATTTTCCTTGAGCAGCATGAATTTCAATATTGCGGTCACAATGTAAAAATATTAACTAGAAGTAAAAATTCAATAAGATCATTATAATTTTGATTGTTCTATGTGATTTTAATAGGATGTTGTAAAATTCATACTTACTTTGCTATAATCATCTGACAATACTTCAAAAGTGACTACTTCAGAGTCAAAGCATCTCTCAAACTTCAATGACAAGTTTTGCACATCAAAACATTTCACACGTGGTTTGTAAATACCTGTTGCAAGAATATGTTGCCCATCTCTAGAAACTCTAATGGACGTACTCACACCAGGCATACTAAAGTCTTGAATAAGTTCTATGCGCCGTCGTATGTCTATTAGCAAATAATTATGTCAAATATTCTCAACCATCTCTTATGGAAGCAAAAAACTATGATATGTTAATAAACCTAGATGATTATTTCTAAATAAGACAGATAGAGCAAATTGCAAATTAATTTTTATTTTAATCCACAATCCTTACCGACATCTTTTTTTACTAAAGTCCTTCGTTTTCGTTCAGATAACCACTGAAAAATATAAGAAATGCACATTTAAATAAATATAACCTAAAAGAATTTAGCGTCATTATATCAATGATTTTACCTCAGGAAGAGATTTCCCAGCGCTAAGATTATAGATTTTTATATTATTCGGAGCGGAAACCTGCATTTCGGTACTTTTTATGCGACACAATATCTTATAAGTTATTTTAGATCCTGTACATCTTCATTTTTATAAAAGCTACAAACCGCACATGTGAGAGAATATTAATGATCTGTTCTTTCTTGCTGCACTGCTGAACTAGTGCAATAAGTTAGAGTGAGGTAGATATATACTTGTCTCACTCTAACTTATTGCAGCAGTGTAGCAGAAGAACAAACCAAACGATAAACGATAATCGATTTATGAATCGATGTTTGATTAATTGCAGCTTGAACAGTGCGTTCAATAGATTTTCTTGGCGATATTAGATGGCGCAAAGTAATCTACTAATTGCATTTTAGAAATTCGATATGTTTTTATTTGCAACACTGTTAAAATATAGAGTCAGACATTCGTTGTTTTTTAACGAGTCCAGCGACCTGTTGACCTGTTATCCGAAATTGTAGTTTCAAAATTCACCACAAGTCGCCACCGTTTCTACCTATAAACCGCAGTAGTATACGTCAACAATATATCAGAATGACATTTGCTTAAAAGTAGAACGATCGATTAGATGAATGTTTAAATGTTTTATATTCAAATAGAATTCGACAGAAAAAGTTCGAAGATTTTTTATTTTAAAATAATACGATTCAACAATAAACCACATAAATTTTTTCCCTTCAAAGTGGACAAGTTTTTTTTTTTCAAGTTGTACGATTAAACAGCAAAACAAATGTATTTTTATTTTCAAATAGTTCGGCAAGTAAAGATTCTCTCATGATTCATTTTGTTAACTGTAAATAATTCCTTCTATTAAAAATCATGTGTTTACTGGTCATTATATAATTTTCTCCCAAAAGGACCCCCCCCAAAGGACCAGATCAGTATATCGAAATCATATAAAACAAATTTTCGCAAGTTAAATATTTCATCCGTGATTCGACTATTTCGAATTATAAATTGGAATTGATCGGATCTTCTCACCGCAAAATTCTCAACAACTGAAATGAAAAACGGCAAGGAGCTTCTCGACAATCGATTCGCTTCTTTCGATAATCGAATCGAACGGTCGTGTGAATTTTCCTAGGAGACAATTGCTAGTGATTTTCGAAACATCAGGTAGGTGGAGCGGCGACGTTCGACTCAACGATGACGGCGGGGAAGGAAGAGCGGCGGGTGGGAGTTGGGAGGAAGGGAAGAGGGTGGCAGAACGACCGGCGTTTCAGCGCGTATTGGTAGTCGCGAGACGAGTCAGTTGGTGACGGGTTGCGTTCGTCTTGTGCGGCGTAGTGAACAGTTTCGGTCATCCTCTTCTCCCCCCTTGTGTTCAAAAATGAGCTGGCAGGATTACGTTGACAAGCAGCTGCTCGCATCTAGGTGTGTTACCAAAGCGGCGATCGCTGGACACGATGGCAACGTATGGGCGAAATCCGACGGCTTCGAAGTGAGTAGCACACCGAAAGAGAATACCGAGAAATGGGAGAGAGATAGAAATAGCGCGGGTGAGAGAATGAGAGAGAGCGAGTGAACGAGCGAGCGAGTGAGCGAGCGAGTGAGAGAGAGAGAGAGAGAGAGAGAGAAAGAAAAAGTGAGAGAGAGAGAGAGAGATAGAGAGAGAGAGGGAGAGAGAAAGAGTGCGAGAAAGCGAGAACGAAGGGAGACGGAGTCGATAGAGAACGTGGAGGAGCTGAGAGAGCACACCCGATAGATAGACGTTGGTAGCCGTCTTTCTTTGATAAAAGCGAAAGTGCGCGGAACGAAACAGCGCGAGCAATAAAGAGATCCTTCGGTAAAACACGTAAAACATGCTTTGTCGATGCGGCCGAGAGAGAAAGAGAGCGCGAGCGAGTGAACGATAGAGTGAGTGAGCAAGCGATGAGAGCGAGAGAGAGAGAGAGAGAGAGAGAGAGAAGAGCGAGACAGAGGCAAAGAGCGAAAAGGAGAGAAAGAGGACAGATGCTCCGGCAAGATCGTCCGCCGCGCGCGGTTCGCTCGAGCTCGTTCGGCTCGAACACGAACCGGTTCGGCCGAGCGAGCTGGGCCGCACGGCGTGCACGTCGTTGGCCGCTTTCTAACCCCGAAATACGGTGCCACGTAGACGCCGGTTGCCGGCCGGCCGGTCGCTCTCTGTAGCGCCGCGGCGCGTTATCGTCGCTCTCTCGCGACGTCTCTCTGCTCGTCGTCGTCGTCGTCCTCGTCGTCTTCGCTCACGATATTACACCGCCGGCGGACGTGGGTCTCAGTTGCCGTGGTGCGTGTGAGAGACAGAGAGAGTCCGCGAGAGAGAGAGAGAGAGAGAGAGAGATAGAGAGAGAGAGAGAGAGAGAGAGAGAGAGAGAGAGAGAGAGAGAGAGAGAGAGAGAGAGAGAGAGAGACCCGATGCCCGTGAGCCGCGCTCGGCGGCGGCGGACATGTTTCGCTTCTCTCGCCGGCGATCCCCCGGAGAGGTGCGCGAACGATCGATCGACTCGTGCACACGCGAGTGCCCTCGTCACTGTGGCCGGTGATGACGACGACGACGGTGATGAGCGAGCGAGAGAGAACGGTCTCGATGTACGGGGCGTGTGTCGCGCGAACGACCAAGTCGATAGCAAAGCGGAGAAACCGCCGGCTCTCGAGGATCGATTATGTATCGCGCTCGAGAAGGGTGTGGCGTTGCGCCGGCTTCGCCGATGTAAAAATACGAGGCCGCTCTCGAGAGCGCCGGTCGTAGCATCGCGGTGCCGCGGGTTCGTTCCCCGGGAGAATGAACCTTGCAACGCGCGGCCGTCAGTCGCGCGTTCCGTCTCGTTGCTTGGCCAGGAGCCGGGGGAACGCGGGAATCGCCTCCGCGAGGACACTCGTCGACGTGGTGCGTCGGACTCATCGGAGTTCCGCGGCGGCGCTACTCGCGCAGCATCATCGCTTTTTCGGCGATGATGATGATTACGATGACGATGATGATGACGACGACGACGACGCGCTGCTTAACATGGCCGCCTTCTATCAACGCGCCGGGCACGTTGCTGCGCGCTGTCGCGCGCACCGCGACGTGGAAATGGTGGTTCATTGTCTGCGAGCGCGACACGACGATGGCGATTTTCTTGGTCTCCGGTTCGCGACCCGGTTTCGTCGCCGTGAATCGACCGCTGAGAACGGCTGCGATCTCGGAACTCGCGAGCGAGCCGATGGTCGTCGGATCGAAGTTTTAGGTTAGCCCAGCGACAGTCACGTAGGCGCGCGACGATGACGAGGCGGAGGAAGAGGAGGAGAAGGAGGTGGAGGTGGGTGTGGGACGTTTTCTTCTCTTTTCTTTTTCGCGACCATCGGTGCGTCGGATGTGTACTGCTCGTACATGTATGTGTGTATGTACACGACGTACAGGTCGTTTCAGCGACTGCCGACAGTCGCGTGTGAGTCTCGTGATCGGCGAGAGAACGGCTTAGTCACCGGTCCTGCGCTTTATATTTATCCGCGAGTCCCACCGATATCGCTTATCTCGAGGTCCAAGTTATTTGTTTGCCTGTCGAGTTGGTTGTTTCTCGCGCTGGAGCCGCGACTCGAGCTGCGTTCGTTGGAGCCTGATCGACCGCTCGTTTTCATCGTTCGCGACATCAAAGCCGCGAGAACTGAAACCGAAGGCATGAGCAGCGGGATTTTAACTAGAGGTCAACTTAGGTCACGGGGGTATTCGATAGAAGAACGATAGGAAGTTTTCGTCAGTTATGTTCGTTGCTCTCGTCAAATCTCTCTCGAGCGGTTAACCTCTCCGAGATCTCGACTCGCTATCAATCATCGCGTGCCGGCGCGTTGGGAACAAAACGTCGGTGGACTTTTCATTTGGGAGGCTTCCACGTCGGAGATTACCGGAAACACCGGGGATTACCGCGGATTACGTTTTGCGCGCGACCGTTCGAATTCCGCGTGTCCCGAACGTGCGGCGATTACCTCCGTTCGCGGGTTAACCAGTTCAGCTTAGATGTCGTTCAGGATTTCGCGATTTCCCGTCTTGAATACACGCCCCCTCCCCGCCCTCCTTGTCCGGTATTGTCGAGCATTGTCGTGTCACCACGTTCCACAATGGTCGTTCGCGGAAGAAGAAAAAAAGGGAGGAAAATATTTTGCGGTCCCTCTTCGAATCGCGGTGAAAGCTGCGATGATTGTGATCGGCGCGCCCTCCGCACTGCACTTCCGAAGCTTACGCGAGACCCGTCGTCGGTAAACCCGTCGCAGCGAACATGCCCGTTTTCGTACGCGAAAGATCGCGGATTCGCGCGTGCCTTTCGTCAGGGGGGAGGAAATAACGGCCGCATCGAATCGTACTTTCCGCGAGGCAAAAAATTACCGGTACGCGCCCGAAATTCGTCCTGGAAGAAGTGGAGTGGAGGAAGACGAAGTGCGAGAGGGAGTGCAGAGAGTGCAGACCCGAGAGGAACCGAGCGAAAAGTCGAATTTCGTTTGAAAATTCGCGAACCGTTTCGGAGCAGGAAGGGGAGCGGGAGGGGCGGGAGTATCGTGCGGCGAACGGCGCTGCAGCAGCAAGCTTCGAGGCTCGATTCTCGTTTCAAGCCACTGTAATTCCGCTGAGTTCAGATCGATGCTATAGACAGGCGAAATCGCTCTACGTCTCTGCGTTCGCTCGCTCGAGACAATAGGAATGACAGTGGCGATTGTTGCAACGTGCAAGTATGAATAGCCACTATGTGAGGGGAGACTAAAGAGGTTCGTTCGCTTTACTTGCACTTTCTATTCTTGCTCGCCGCACATGCCTCAGTGTGTGTACACTGATCTTATCGAACGCGCAAAAAGTGTAGCTCAAACCACGAACGTCGCGTAGCAAGGATTGAAGAGGAGTCGTAAAATTGCCGTCTGCATTGGCGACAGCAGCGGTGTATATAGATAAGCGAGTCTTATCTTCCTCGCGACCGATCTCAGATCTGATTAGAACGTTGTGATGTGCGAAAAACACGCAAGTTCTCTCATTATAATGTTCGACGTTGTGGACTCAAAAGTAAAAGAGCTCCTCGGCGGAAATGTCCGGTTTCCTCTTAAGACAATTGGTTCATACGAGATGTAGGGTTTAGACTCGTGAAAATCGTTACTATTAACTGCAGATAGGCAAGTAACCTAACCTAGGTTAGATTAGGTTTAAGTTAGGTTAAGTGAAAAGCGTCGTCGTTCAAAGTTACCGTTAGCGAAACTGTGACAGGACGACTTGGCCGACTCTTGTGTGGACGTTGTGCGTTCCGAAAATCGTCGGTGACGAATTGATGGGCAATTTTAACGAACAAGCAATCCCCTGCATTCGCCCACAAGGAAGTGATCGTTTCCAAGTGCGTGTCGCGCAAATGCAAGGGTCGCGTATGTGTGACTCATTGCAGCGAACGCGTTAATTTGGTTGGAAGCGGACCGATTATATTTGAGACAATTGTACGTGGGTTAGGTTAGGTTAGGTTTGGGTCAAGTTAGGATAGGTTAGGAGCGGTTACGAGTGGCTGCTTCGTAGACGCATAGAATAGACTCAGCATTTAGGATTGTACACCTGCCTTTGGGCCTGCAGGCCGACGAGAGAGGCGAAACAGCGGGAAGTTCTCTTTTGTTATTCTCGCGTTATAGAGCTCGCGGATACATTGCAAACGCTTGCCGCGTGACAGTTCGCACAACGATAGTTGCTCAAATGTTTGGTGTGTTTGCCGCGCTGCCAGTCCTGCCTTTAATTTGTGCCCGTTAAAGAGCAAGAATTTCACGATATTCCGTTTTCTCCCGCCCGCCTTCGCCCGTCTCTCTCTCTCTCTCTTCTCTCTTTGGACGTTCTGCTGAACTGGACATATTCAAAATAGTTTAAATGCGATTGTCTGTGTCATTTATCTTCATGCACAATTTATTTCTTTTTTCGTACGAGTAGTTTGTGCTTTAAAGAGGTGAATCCGGGATTGATGGGATGCCGCGTTTAACGCTAAAACCACCAACGTTTAACAATTTATTTATGCCGGTGAAGTAAATATGTGAGTAGTTTTTGAGGAAATATGCAATGAAAACGGGAGAATATATTTATATTCTTTTTAGTTTTATTATGAACGTGGAGAGTATAAAATGCACTATTACAAATTTATATAATTTCTACGCGGAATTTTGATTATTTAGTTTTGCTAGTCAAACCAGTTATCCTGATTGCTTTGGCAGTTCCATTGATTTCGATTTTATTTTGGTCTCAATTCTATAACATTAATACGATCGTTACCAACGTTACCTGTGTGTGACACATCAATTTCTCACGAGACATCACGTGTGATGACAACGAATTTTCTTCCCATACCTGTGATCGAGCCAAGTCTGTTTTATCATTGCATAATAAAAAATTAATACACACTGAGAAGAGATTTCAGTTTGTATAACTGAACAGGGAGCGGACGAAAATTCGAAGAAACGAGAAACGATCTTTGTTATCGCGAGCGAAAACATTCG